TGAGCAGGGTGAATGTATCTATTATTTTGAGGACTTTTGTTGTACCGATATAATTGATTACTTTTGATGTACCTATATATTTGCATATCTTGTCTGTGACGATCTATATGACGCTGACTGTACGCATGCTTAATAATCAAAATATTTTAACAATTTCAGAATTCAATGGCGCATTGGTGTTGTGGCAGTAAAGACCTATCCGGTAATAAGCAAGATTTTTACACCGCGATACCTCTGTCTCAAAGAACGCTTTCCAATGGCACTAAAAATTCTGGTAAGCACCTAAGTAATTGTCCTAATTATATAATTTTCCCACATGACGAAGCTAGCATACTTTTGTACACTCAACGTCTTCATTAATCGACATCCGAGAACGATAGATTGTTAATAACGTTTTCATCCACACACTTTACCCTTAATCGCTTTTTTCTAGTCTTAATTGCGAATAAAACAAATGATTGCATTATACAGATAAATATTGAGCACAACGAGTGAGGCAATCATCTTTTTTGTATATAACTTTGATATTTCCTTAACTTAACTTATATATATATATATATATATATATATATATATATATATATATATATATATATATATATACTATTAGAATATCTTGCCAATAATAAAGAAATAGCATTTAACTATAAAAATTTTGTCAATTCTTGACATAACTATTGCAGTAATTAAATGTTTAAAGAGATGTCTAAAAGCAATCACGTATAAACCCCCAATTTATATAGTTCTTTAGAACAGTTCACAGACTTGCTTACTAAAGTACTAACTTTAACATGCTATATCTCATTGAATAAACAAAAGCACTTCTCGAGACCAATTCATCCTTCGTGATATAGGGCAAACAGAATAAATCAAATTCAAATAGAAATCTGAACAGAATGCTTGTATGACCTTATTTCTCACGAAGCGAACATTTTCAACTTGAACGAAACAAACGAAATTTATCTCTGACAATTTTTAAAGACCTTTGTCAAGCTCTTACCTATTCCTATTCAATATTTTCATATATTTGAGATCGCAAGTAAAATATCAATTTCATATATAATATAAAAGTAAATTTTTTACCTTTTATTAATGTGGTTGTTCACTTTGATATAGCATATTATTCTTAACATTAATTGGACAAAAAAAATACATTGTATGATTACGGTTGTGTATACCTAATTGTACAAACTAACACAAATGCAAGAATATGTTTTTATATGTACGTATATAATTGTTTGTAATTAACGTGCTAATAAATCATTACAACTACTCGATTAACTACAAAGTGGTTTTAATTTTATTAACATTCAGGGACGATGCCTTTGACATATTCAAAAGATCATTAAAGACAATAAGTGATTATTGTAAAAAATAATTTGCATCAAATCATTATAAATACAAGTTGTATATCAATAGGTACTCAGAGTGTATTTGTTTTTCTGGATCGAATCTAACACAGCCAATAAGAAATAAATTTCCCTTTAAAAATAAACAAATTGTACGATTCGTCGTCGTGTAACTTAAATTGATTCAAGTCATTACACCAAAGATACGAACCACATACTACACGACAATTTTTTTATTGAGTTCAATATTATTAACTACTAGCTGTTGTCCGCGACTTCGTCCGCGCGGCATTGAAAAAAACTTAATTAGTAGCCTATGTGTTCTTCCAGACTATGTTCTACATCTACGCCAAATTTCTTCAGGATCCGTTCAGCCGCTATGGAGAAACCTTCAAACAAATATCAATCCATCCATCCAAACATTTGCATTTATAATATTAGTAAAATTACATGTCAGCAAAAAAAAATCTAAAATGAATATTACGATCATTTCCAGATAAATCTAATGGCAACCGTTCATCAAAGAGAAAAAGCTCCGAAACACCAGATAAAGCGAAGAATATATCAGAAAATCACTATTGTCAGAATTGCCATGGTCCTTTAAAAAGAACTGAGACTCCACAGTTAACGGAATTAAAACTGAAAAATGTCCAAGAATTGTCCGTGAAAATTAATATTTAAAAAAAATTAAACATAAAAAGAAATTAAATGTAACATTGAAGAAAATTAACAAATGATTTTATAATTTACTTGATATAACATCGATTATAAACAGTTCAATTGTTTTACAATAAAATTATAAAGAAGGAATGGTCAAACAAACCTCGGTAACGTTAAATTAAAAAGGAAATGTAAATTAAAAAAAAAACAGGGAGTCTAAAAAAGTTTTATATAAAAGTTTGGAATTATTGTAACGAATTAAAACAGGGTTGATTACAAGTGGTGCACACATCTGTGCAGTATTGGACTGTTAGTATTTACTTTTAGAATTCGTATATAAATAAACAATTATTTTCTTTTTATAAAACAAAAAAGTCTATTGACAACTTAAATATTATACTTACGAAAAGATTAAACTTAACATAGCGATATACTCATGTTGTATCTCCCTAACCAAAGAGTTCAATTGTAGTGACACTGGTCATAAAGAATAAAAAATGACAATATCTATAATATACACATTAAACAATTTGAATGTCTGTATGTAATATCAAAAAAGATATTTAGTACACATAATGTATTTTCTTAGTAGATAACGAAAAACCAATTTTTAAACTTTTTGTCTGTATATGTCTGTCGCCAAGTCCGCGTTTTTCCGGTAGTGTTCTAATAAAAGTGTCGCCGCTGTGGAGTTCTACAGTTATATAAAGGAAACCATGAAAACGAAGTGGAGAGATTAATACATTATTATGAATGTATGTGTGATTATTTTTATTTGTAGTTGCTAACAAGAAATATATGTAGAAAAATTGTAATATTATATTAGGGTTTTCTGTACGAAAATACATAAATATATGTACGTTTTAATACTATAATGTTTGCTCAATAGAATTTCGTTATATTTTGTAAATAGTATATAATTTAAGTTTAAAATGCACTTATTTTAGCTAGTCTATAGATTAGTTATAAATAAAATTAGGAATATTGTTGTTAGTTGATCCAAATTTCAAACTGTAAATACTAAATTCGCCTTGCCAAAACATTCAGACTCTATAAAATGACATAGTCTGTAGTCTGCATTTACGTTATTTTATGTATAAATATAGATGCTTAATTTTACGTTATAAGTAAATATATTTAAGCCTGTCTTACTTTTTTAAAACAGGATATGTTTTACCTTATATATTGATTGTATATTTTTTCTTTCTTTATTAAACAATTTCTGAGTAGCTCTGCTTGGCACAATCGCTGTTTCTATGTACTTACAAAAAGCGTAGATAATAAATGTCGTTGAAGACAATATTAAATGTCAATTTAGTGTTAATTAATGTGACTTACTTGCGCCCTCTTCCGCGAAGCTTTCAGAAACCGGCCTTTAAAGAAATAAATGTGTATCTCTTGTTACTCTAACAGAATGTTTAATAAACGATGTATGTGATAAACGTTTTTTCTTTCAAAAATTAATTAATAAACCAAATTCTTTATACTTGTCGTTCACTGAATTCTTAAGCGAAGATAGTTTGTGTTTACAATTAACACCGTAAATGGCGCTGCTATCGGATATGCTTCAAGAAATCTTAGCCTAAATGCACTCTAGAATTGGCATTGAAAAATAATAGAGAGATTTAGAAGTAAAAATTATAGTATATCAACTTTTACAACCATGTCGTTGACGTTTATACAAAAGCATAAAAAATCTTGGATTTAGTAGTGCAAGAATTTTAAATTTCCAGTCATTAGAACTATATTTAACGAATGAAATACAACTCAGAAGAAATCCTTACATTTGCCATCCTCATAAAGACAAATACAGTCTCATGATGGAAAAGATTCATAACAACTTTACAAGGTTTACTTATCTAAAAGAATATATGAGTGTATCTACACTTCCCGCTAATGTACCCGAGTTTGTTTATGAATGTTATGGTATAGCGCGTGCCCGATTGCACGGTCCAGTTACGTCGTTGCTCGCTGCTTTTTCTGGAGCCCTCCGCTGGAACTAATGCCCTTTTGTCGCGCACCAATCGTCTTGTCAATTTCATATCTAAAGATATTTCGCTGTAGGGAGTCGAAGTTTACAGAAGCTGCAAGTAGGTAATGAAAGTGGAAACAAATTGTTGTAGCTACGAATGTTCTTTTTCTAGCTTGTCTATGTCTTATGTCATTTTATTACATATTAAAGGATTACAGTATCAACATCGTCTTCACACCTTAACTAGGTAAACCTGTAAGGAGCCAATGACTTCCATCTTGATGCCTATAACAAGTGTTACAATAAAATTGTAGAAAAAAAAATTAATTAATTAAAATAAATTTAAACATATTACTTATTCTATTAATGAATTTTCTATTGTACTAAGGGTCTTTTAAATTAATGATGACGAAATGATACTGAAAATATCTTCATGAATTCAAATGATAAAATGGAGAGCAATATTTTATCAAAACACTAATTTATGCAAAATATCTGTGTGCATAAGGATTAAATGTTAATAAAGAGAAATACATTCGGATTAAAACTGAAATGCAACTGTAAGCTCCGCATCAATGTTTTTATTATTTTTATATTTAATTTAACCACATGTTTCCACTTCCAATGTATCTGTATAAAACATATTTATTTTCATCGAGTAAATGAGTTTGAATTTTTGGAATTACAAAAGCGTTTTTACTTTTCTAAAAGATAGGTATAGCATAAAATCTTTTACTTGATACAATGATTTCAAATTTCAACTTAAGTCATGTAAATATTATTCTTTACAAAGTTTATTAGATAACATGTAACGAAACTATAACTATAACTATTTAGCAATTGAAAAATATAATAACTTAATAATATATACATAAACTTATTATTGAATTACTTAACTCTATATTAATTATTAAGTGACTAATTATATTAAAATTAATCTACCAAAATAATACTATAAACTATATACTAAAACTAAACCAAACTAAATAATATAAAAAATCGACCCCAAATCGCTGCGGCTTTATTCTTTACTAATTATTCATAATCGGACTTTCGACTGCGGAAATACCACGAACTCTCATTAAATTAGAGGCGTGAAAAATAGTATAATTATTTTATATTCATATAATATGTAAATAACCATATTCAGAACGGTTTAACGCACCGAACAATACTGTCGACTGTCTTCACTGTGTTATATATATGTTTTGGAATTCGGACTGTCACACTTCATGTTTATTAAAAAGGTACTAATCAATGTCTGAACATACACAGTCGTTTTGTGGACAACGAGGAAAGTAGAAGTCCCACAAATACTTAATACAGGTGGGTGTATTATTTTTGTATACTCTATATTTCTTTATCTTTATATTCTATATTAGAAGCACTACTATCGATAAAAAGTTAAATTTCTTAGCATATTAATACCGCCATGAAGGAAACGATGTGACGTTAATAAAAATCTATTTAAATCGTTTGTAGTATATGTAGATATTTATTCATTTTAATTAACAAAAACTTAATATAACTATGCACAAAATTTCTTTTAAAACCATTGAGATGAAATGAAACCTTGCAATATATAAAGAATAAGAGTAACAAGTAAATACTTTTGCACGAAATTATTCCCATTTGGATTTCATATTCTACGGAATACGTATTCCGTTGCATCACGAGCAGATTTAAAAGGATAATAAATGTGTTTAATATATTTCCTTTGATGTCTCACTGAATGTAAATAAAACTAATCATCCGAACATAAAATTTTGTTATTTAACAAGGTGCCTCTTTAAACATAAGAATCCAAATAATTTGAATTTTTGAGGCCCTCGTAATTCCTTCACTTGAATCTCATAATCTTTTCACTCGAGATGTTTGAGACAGAACCATTTTATTATTTTTTTTTTTTTAATTTAAATGGAAAACTACGAACGAGTTAAAAAGATACCTATAATACTTGCAGTATTTATATTAGTGTCTGTGCGGATTAATTTGACACCAAAGATATATCAAATTTCATTAATTTGATACTGTTGTGGATATATTATAAATGTACGGTAAAGTAACAAAAATGATATTCTTTTTTTTAAAGATGGAGCAAGCCAATTAGTGTTACCAACACATGTTATTGTTGCGGGCTAAGCAATAATTAATAAGATGACAAAGAAAATAGGCATGTGTAGGCATTTAAATATAATGTTATTAGAAATCTTCATTAAATATTTCATTGAATTTGATATTCCATGAATCAAGTCTATTACGTCAGTTTATATTACTAATTTTATAAATGCGACTGTTTGGATGGATGGATGGATGGATGTTTGTCTGAAGGTATTTCCAAAACGGCTGAACGGATCTTGATGAAATTTGGACATAGCCTGGAAGAACACATAAGCTACTAATTTTTTTTAACCACGCGGACGTAGTCGCGAGCAACAACGAGGAAGCTATGAAAAGACAAAGGTTTTGAAATTATTCTTTTGGATAGTTCATGCATAATTCCGAAAGTTACAATTATGAGCGTATATTACATTCCAACGACAGGAATGCTTCATTAGCACATAATAGCATTCAGTGATCCTTGACCTAACATCGGGATATGTTAATTTTCGATTTTCATTACCTGAACTCTAATGTAAAGTATGCGCTGCTTCATACGAATATCACTATATCGTTATAACTCTGACCACAAATACATAAATTCGTATGTATTTTAAAATCCTTTTTAATAAACTTCCGATGATTTTTATTAAAACTTAGAAGTTATTATGAAATAAGAAGCGGAGCTAGAGAAAGTATTCGATGCGATTCCATAACGAACTTCAAAAATGTATAGAACTGACAATAACTTTCGGTAAGTCACGAAAATACGATCCAACGTGTCTAAGGTTAAGGGAATAAAACGGTAAAAGTTACAAATCATAGTATGTACATACATTATTGATATCTTTCCATTGTATTTGTAAAGTTCATGTAATTGCATAATGAATAGTTTCTAGGTAACAAATTTTCTGCATGACAAGACGACATGCGATTCTTAGTAACATGAGAGAGTTGACGATATCATGATTGACTGACTTGACATTATTGTTTATTAGACTCTTTTTCATGTTCAATACCCAATTGTATTTGGTAGTAAGTAGGTATTCAATATATTAAACAAATTAATTATGCCAAGTTTCTTACGCGTTGTTGTTAAATGTGTGAAGCCAGTGCTCTAAGTGAAGGTTACTGCGTTTAAGAATTTTTGATACATGCTTATTTTTTTATAAGTCTTCTAAATGATCAAGGTAAAATTCTTAACTTTAAAATGTTATGTGTATGCATTTTAGACGTAAGCAACTAATGGATTTTTAGCAAAACCTTTACACCACATAACATTTACTATATCTATCGCCTTGTCATTTGTTTAGGTACATTTAAATGGAATATAGATGGACTGTATAACTACATATTTTGAAAAACGATTTTAGCAAAAGGAAAAGATTTCTTTTATCTATTTTTTTAAGAAGCTAATGTAATTTTGAAAAATCTCAATATCTGTAGTGAAATAATATAAAATGATATTTTCTATTAAAATGTACATTTTTTTCATAAAAACTTATACATTCTGATATTTTGATAGTTTTCTTTTTTCGTTATATTTTCTCGTTAATACTATTGAGCGCAATTCAGTAAAATAAAATAAATATTATGTAAAATATTCATAAATGAGAGTGGTTTCTCGCACAAAAGTCAATTTCATTGGAATAGCAAAGATTGAACAAAGCATTAGACCTGCAGTAAATTTATTAAAAGATTTTGACCACTGTTTTCATTATCACTTTTACAGAGATGACGGAGGTTGATAATGAAACGACAAAAAGCGGTCCAACGGCTGAGCTGTCTAAGCTGAGCAAAAGTCGAGAGGCCGACTGGCCCGCGGTGCTGTTATTCATACATATACACCTTCTCTCTATATACGGCATCTGGCTGCTGTTTTTTGAAGTCAAATGGATGACTGTATTATTGCGTAAGTTTTTTTTTATCGCATTAAAAGTAAAAGTACGAATATGTTTCATTACAAATGAAACAACAAAATAATTTTATGGGTGTTTTAACGGCGGAAAATCACTGTAATACCTAATTAAGATTCATGTTCCAGTGATAGCCCTGACCTCGCTCGCTACGCTAGCAGTGAACACAGGGGCACATCGGCTGTGGGCGCATCGAACTTACACCGCCACTAAGGAATTGAGATTTATACTAATGCTTCTACACACGTTGGTCGGACAGGTATATTTCAATAGTAACTGTCAATATTAATACTAGTAATAGTACTAAGATTAGTATTAGTATCAGTACTATTAGTATTAAATAGTGGTAGTAGTGATTATCGCAAGTACTTTATAGTATTTAAACGTTTGTTAATCACTTTTCTTCAATATACAAAAGTTATTACTCCTTTAAATACATGTCATTTGTTTATTTGTTATGGAGACGTAACAATATTGTAACTTTAGAATTCCATAACGTGTTAGGTTCCGTTATTTGTAACGAAAATGTGTAGCGATTTTAAAGATAACTAAAATAGTCTTTCTATATCTCATTAAAACTATTTTCAGGGGTCAATATACAGCTGGGTGCAGTACCACAGACTGCATCATGCCCTCTTTAGCACAGATGTAGATCCATATGACCACAAAAAGGGTTTCTTTTATGCTCACATGCTGACTCGCTTAAAGAAACTTAGTCCTTATCAAGAGAAACTCAAAGAACAGATTGATATGTCCGACATCGAAAAGGACTCCATAGTGATGTTTCAAAAGAAGTAAGAATGTTTTAACATACACCTTTAAACGCCCTACGCTGTCTGATTGTCATTTTGTTATCGTTGATATAATCCATCATAACCAATAATGTAATCAATAAGAGGTCTGTTTCGATTTGTTATTCCACTTGTCTATTGAAGCTTCACTACTTCTATGTGTCCTAGCACTGGTTTTTAATTTATTAACAACTTTTCTGCAGATTGTCATTTGTTTACGTTACGTACATTTTAATGAATTTTCCAACAACAAACTAATTCCGAATATTGTGTTAGCATTTTGTAAAAGAAACAGCATATAAACTTTTATTTGATGTCTGCATATTGCTTGTTGAATTTCAGTTTCTACTGGTTACTGTACCCAGTTATATTCCTGCTACTTCCACTCAACGCCCCACTAGAGTATTGGAATGATTCCGTCATGAGCGCGGTTTTTGTGATGGGATTCTTGCGTTACGCATTAGTATTACACGCTGCGTGGCTCGTCGAAAGCGGATTCTGCATTTGGGGTCTCAAAGAACACGACAAGTGAGTAATTCCTTTACCAAAATAGTTAAAAGTTATACTGTTAGTACTTCCACTTCACTGTTCAACTAAATCCATCTACCCACCTTTAGTTACAACTGAACAGTCGGACTATTCAATTAAAAGAGTGTGACATTGTAACTAACAGGTAAACTGTACTATTCTTAGTATACACGAACGTTTTAACAGAACAGTCCGAATATTCCGAAACAGTGTATTTAAAACAGAACGTGTGTGACTGGCTTTATACTAAACCGGTGTACCGGTCTATGAATTTAATAAAAACACGAATTAAATCAAAACAATGATTCCCTTGCATTGCGTTTAAAAACACATTACCATTAAAAACTTATTTATATGAAAAGTACGATTAAAAACATTAAAAGCATATAATTTATAGTTATCTCCTTTATAACTTTGTCGTTGCAGTATCCTTTGACACGCAAAAATATACAGTTTAGTAAACGCTATATGATAACGCAATATGCTAATGTCTATGATTTTTTATAACCGTTTTAATTACCTAATTTTTTGTCTGTGAATATTAAAGTTTCAAGAAACTTCTAATATGAAGAACAATATATTTAATTAAGATTTAATATAATTTATTTAAAGCACCATTGTAGCAACAGTATGTAAATATTTACAGGTACCCATCAGATTCAAACTTGGTATTCTTCCTCAATCAAACGTTTTGGCCACATTACCATTATCTGATTCCATGTGATTACAAATCAGGTGAATATGGAACTTATGGTAAGTACGCATAATTTTGTACTAACACATATTTACTCCATTCAATAAAGAAACTAGTACTCAATTGAATAATCGACTTTAACAAAAAAAAACAACTAACCCTTTAAAAACTGTACCTTATAAACCAACAACACAATAGAACGGACAGAAATACTTTCGCCGTAGTCGAGACAAAAATACAAACAAAATGTGCAATCGTGTTTTCGTGATTATCGTCTAGCTCAATATTTCATATGTATTCATAAAATCGTCGTCCATCTACACCCGGTCTACAAACATTGTAAATAAACACAACAAATCTAATACGAAATTTACATAAATCACATCAATACGTTTAATATCATATTAACAACTAAAATGAATTATTTAATATTATAATAATAATATTTTGCAATGTGTTCATTAATATTTTTGGTCCTACTTGGACTGAATAATGTTTTAAGAAAAATGATTACTAAAATTCATTTGAATACCAATAAAGCAACGGTAGATTTTTTAGAGCCTCGGTGGCTCGCAAGTCAAGCACTTGACTTTTTTTTATATCATAAGGTGGGCAACGAGCGAGCGGCCACCTGAAGAACGCTGAAATAGTGAAGTGACCGTTGCCCATAGGCAAACGCAATTGTATATGCGTTGCCTACCTTTAATCGACGTAGGAGAGGATGCACAGAAAGAAAAAATATTTTCCCTTTTCCATGCAATCTGCAGGTCCTGGGTTCGAATCCCGCCATGTACCAATGTGTTTTTCGATTTGCGATTTACATATGTACATCATTTACATGTGTATCTTACGGTGAAGGAAAACATCGTGATGCAACCTGCACATATCTGAGAAGAAATTCAAAGATATGTGTGAAGTCAACCAACCCGCACTTGGCCAGCGTGGTTGACTATGGCCTAATCACCCTTAACATAGGGTAGGCCCCGAGCCCCTCGGTGGGGACGTATAGTGAGCTAATGATGAGAGATTTTTATTTATTGGATATTTTATTCATTACTCTTTCTGTATTTTAAGTTTAGTGTATGTAACTATAATTTTCATACCTATTGCATATCCATATCCATATCACGTAACATGAAGTTCTGGAACATCTAATATTCAAGCTTATTTTCACTTAGATTCTGGTTGTTCGACGGCATTTATTCGTGTGTGGGCCGCTCTTGGTCTTGTTAAGGACTTACGAACAATCGAGTCAACCACAGTACATAAGGCGCTGGCGGAGGCCACCAAAACTAAGAAACCTTTAAAACTATGCCTACAAGAGGCGACAAAGTTACAACGCCTACCTGAATATCATTACTTAAGATGAGGTATTGTAAATTAAAATATAAAATAAATAATTTATTTATATCATACTTTTTTCTTTAGACTATAAGCAGTCGCCCGCAGCCGTTTTGGAGATACCTTCAAACAAACATCCATCCATCTCAACATTCGCACTTATATTAGTAAGATAGTAAGATTAAATGTACTACGCTTCGAACAACTTTAAGCTATCAGACATTTTTTATTAAATGTTTCACCTGTTTGTAATGAAAATAAGGTGAAAAAGACGTGATGAAAGGAACTCTATTGATATGAAGTTTTCAAAAAACTAGTACAACAATAGTATGAAAATGTTTTGGTGTCTTGACAAAATTGTAAAGATGTAAATAACAAAATTTTGAGATAAAAAAAAAAAACAAAAACGATATTTATTAGTTTATTTATTTATGCACTTGTACTATATAACATTAATTGATTGTTTTCTAATGAATCAAGTGGAAAAGTACGTTTACTATTTCTACTTCCTGCTATACAAACTTAATACCATTGAAGCCCATAAAGTTAATGTTACTGAGATTGTTTCACACAAACAATACTAACCCACACATTGTACAAAATTGCAAAGTCACGGAAAGTAAAATGATTCAGTTATTTACATTGATATAAATATTCCTTATAAGTAACAAAACAAGTTTTCTTTTTATTCATTACTTACTTACTCCGCTAGCGCATGGACCCAAAGTAGGTCTTAGACTCCGACACAAGAGATCGCCAAAGTCGCCGGTCTTGCGCCTTCTTCTGCCAGTCCATCGCTTGTAGCTCCCGCAGATTCAGCTTTACGGCGTCTCGCCAGCAGTACCAGGGGCTACCGATGGGTTGGCGGCCAGTCGGGGTCCCGAGATATGCTGCTTTGGCCTTTCGATCTTCCCCCATCTTTTATTCATTACAGCTAAACTTAAAGCACTCTTAGCTTATTACGATTTAAAATAACTTAATTATTTAAGAATATTTTCAATGTGGTTAAAGTATGTTATCACACAATTCTTTAATTGACAGCGTTTATTCCAACAGTATTCTCCGATACCTGAAATTGCCACGAAAAATATTTGTCAATTTTGTAACTGCAAAAATTGTGTTTTTTTTACGAAACTACCTGTTGCCCGCGACTTCGTCTGCACGGAATTTATAATTTAGCCTAATTTACTCTATGGTATAAGCTACCTACCAGAAAAAGTTCGCGTAGTTTAATAAAGATAGCAAAATCGAAAAGGATGAATGAAAGGATAATTATATATCTAACCAATAAAGATAGAACCAAAAAGTCCAACGAGGAAGACGACCAGAGCAGAGCGGACATCGGCGGCGCGGGCAGAGGCGAAGCGTGGAGGTGGTTCGCACATCGGCATAGCCGGCACAAGCGCCGTGCCCAACCGAGCCATCACGCCCGTGCCGCGAAGCTGCAGCAAGCTAGTACAGTACATGTCGTAATGTAAGGGATTTTAACATACTATACCAAAGCTATAAAACTACCCGTAACTGAAGAATATGATTGACGTATAACTATAGAGGTGTCCCAGGTGATTTGATATATGTAAATTGCCATTGTTTTTCTGGCGTCTAGATTGATATAAATAATGTACCTGACTAAAATAGGCCGTGCGTATGGTGAACCTTTTGATAGTGGGAACGCCAGCTGTGCTCTTGTAGAAGGTACGGCCAATTCACGCAGCGAACACCGACCGCGAGCTTGACTCAACGATCTATAGACAAATATTCCGAGAACAATTATTAACTTGGTATATAAATAATAGATAAATTATAGTGAACCTAATTAAATGTAAATTAAGGAAATTATTATAAATCTAGAGCTATCTAGGTACATAAATTTATTGATTGTAACGACGTACCTTTTCATAATATCTGAAATTCGGTCTAGATTTCTATGTGCAATACATCAATGGATTAAGGATCGATACCGTTATGATGATAAATATGTAACGAGTAAGGAACAACAGCAGCTCTTACATTGTATGTGTATTTGGAATTTAAATTGCCTAGCCTTATATTTTGCAAGTCGATTTACGCGATGTTTTTAGGTCACGCTGTTAACGTCTCAAATTATGGAATACACTTATGGAAATAGGTACTCCATACGCATAAAATATCAGAAATTGAGTGTAACTCACGGGGAACCGTTTATACCTTAGAGTCGTACGTGCTGCTCTTTGTTCAGAGAAAAACGCATAATCCTGTTTTGCTGCACGAAATAATCCTTCTTCTGCCGACGACACCAGATTCTCCGCTTCAGAGTAGCCGCGTATGTAGAATGCGTTCAGCTGAACGTCCTTCGTAGACTTTAAGAGAAAAAATACAAAAGTTACTATAGCTACACAAAATCTAACTTTATAATAGTTACATTTCTTTATGGTGAAGTTCCCAACTGCAGTGGATGTTTCATGGGTGATAAATTATGAAGATAATCTATATGTACATACCATCAGGTACATTTGATCCGGTCCATTTCGTATATAACCAATCTTTAGATTGGATGACTGCAACACAGCCGAGACCGTGTCTACACTGGCGACTCTGACAGACAACACTGAAGTTATGAAAGCCGCATAAGAATTATACGTCACCAACGCAAATAGAAGACACACTATCAACAATATACTTGCTGCAGGATTTGAAGGTGTTGACGAACCACCTGCAAAATTATAAAAAATTGGTTAAACTTTAACAGAACACAGCTTTTTAGGGAGATTATGCGATTCTATTGTGTCAAAATCGTTCTAATGGCACAGTGCCACGTTTTAACTGTCTGCATTTCACTTGAACACAATGCTTAATCTGACATATTTTTGTGCTCGGAGCATTCTTAAAAATGTTCCCACATACTTAAATTTGATAGACATTTAGTTTTAATTGGTGTTTAGGTCTTATATAATATAGAATTATTACATTGTAGTATCAACAAAAATAGTAAATAGACCTTGCTGACATAATATTCCAGTGGACCACACTAAAGCCTCAGTAAATCTCATCGAGCTGCGATTAGTCACGAGGGGTGTGAATTTGTTGATGATATAAATTGCAATTGTTGACACGAGGCCAATCGCGAATACACATGCCAGTAACATTGGATTAAACGGAGCCAGGAATATATCTCGCACTGCTGTCGTTTCTTGATCTCGTATGTAAATATTAAACCTGTAATTACGTATAACATAGGATCTTACATTTATTTCACTATTATGATACAGATTCGCCAATAACTATGCTTAGTCAATGCACTGGAGATTTATGGTAAGAGTTATATCCGGGAGTGGATATCTTTTAACTTTAGATTAACAAAGAGTTAAATGAATGCAGATTAAGTATGTTAATTGTCATTTTATACCCTAGTCAAGTTAAAATAAAGAATAGATATAATTATGTTTCACATTGTTTCCGCCAGGGGGAAGACAAAATCCATATTTTGATTTCGAGAAGCGTGTGACGTCACAGGTTCAAGCGCTATATCTATAGAGTTGTCCATCAAAGCGCCAAGTAGACCAGTCCAGGTACCTTCGTACGTTTGAAATCCTAATTTATTGTAATATTGCATATAAGTCCTGCAAACATTAAGAAGGTTGTACCGCTTATATTCTAGGTTAAAGAAAGACTATATTTTCCAAACCCAAAGCTTACGTCGCGTTAAGTCGATCAGTTAGGAAATAAAGAACATCGTTGAATAAAGTTGTGTCTACGTCTTTGGCCTCGCCGCCTTCTTCAGTAGAATTACAGGAGCCAAATCGTAGATGTTCGCCTACAAACTTACGAGCTTCGACAGGGTGAGGCGATTCCACGAATGACATAGACCGATTTCTATCCCATACACCTTAAAAAATTAAATATATGTTAAAATAATGAAACAGGATTTCACTGCCGATTCTGCACTTTCTTATTCTATTTCAAACTTTACTGGTATCAAAATTAAAAAAAAATCATTTATTTTGTAATTGCCAATTAACAAAAATTAGTAATGTCGATTTTACAAATAAAATAATTAACAGCTACTCGTTTAAAAAAAAACAAGAATATTTTTCCTTAATAAATATTTATATCAATGCAGTAACATCTTCGCTCGAAAAATCGCACGTTTGATAACTTTATTTCTTCTATTTGATAACAAAATATAGCACAAAGAAAACACAGATATATTTTTCTTCATTATGGATGATAACTTTACCAAAAGATCTGGTAAAAAAATGTTATTGCTACACAACTGTAAGTATATTCCGATAAATGTTGAACATTACAGTCTATTTTTTTAATAATCTATAATATTTTAAACGCACACTACTTTCTTTAAATCTAAAGATGAACATCTAATTATTAAATTAATTGAAATTAACGTACCTAAAGGGCATCCATATAAAGTTCCATTTATACGCACTTTAAAATATTGCACTAGATAAAAGACCTGATCATTGTTTTGCTTTTTCAAATTAAAACCCATCCTATTGAATATATTTAAGAATAAGTGACTTATATTGACCGCATTAAAATGTCTGGAATAATTATAATATAAAGATCCTGAAGCAAGCAAAGGTAAATATTTGTTACCGCTTTGATATGTACTGTTTCGTTTTAAATCTTTAAATCTTGTAGACCTCTGGTGGACATTTTCGAAACTATTCTTTACATAAATCAAGTGTTTATTACCATTACGTTTGTTGTTTTTTGCTTTTGATTTATCTGTCGGTCCATTCTCTTTTATATTATACCGGAAACTTTTGTCACATAGTCCAATATCTTTATGAACCAATCTTTTTGTGTGTAGGGGATATGCAACTACGATATTTGCATCGAATCTTATGTCGGTCTCGTTGAGAATATGATGAACGTGTTCGTAATCATCATGTGTGCGAGCCGCAATCAACCAATCAAACCAAGCTTCGTTCATTCCAGAATCATGCAACTGTAAAGGAGTAATGTTTTTATACCTCTAAACTACATCTCTTCAAGAAAGTCTATACAAATAGTATAATACTATTCATAACGAATTAGAGCAAAATTTGACACAGTATAAGTAACTTTAGTTGATCAAAGAACGTGCAATCTTTGGTTATAAATTACGTTAGAATTTCGAACATTGGGACACCACTAGTAAAAATAAAGCATGTATATTAAAAAGCTATTTATTACCTTGTTGATATTATTAAAGTTGTCCGTATGATTGGATTGAAACGTTGGTAAAATAACCGTAACACCCAATTTCGATGTAAAATTAGGCTTGCTTGAAACATCCATAGCCGTCGCTATCCCGTTAAGGCTCAAACATTTTACCAAACTAACAACAGCCCAATCACAACCTTAAACAGTACATAAGGATTTACTGAACTAGTTAATAATTCACTAAAGAAGACTTATTAGGAAACTACACTAAAATAATGCTTATGTACTTATTAAAGAACTAAGCGTGCGGCAATTTCTAATAATAATCGTGTCGCTAATTATTATTGTGTAGTAAAAAATATTAATTCAAATTACCTTCGTGTAACTTTATAACATTAATAATCTCTGGACATCCCAATTATGTCACAGCTCGATCCTTATCACATTCATCATCACATATATACGTGCTTAATTATTTTAAACAGTTACTAATTAATAATTATTATTAATCAGATAGATTAGTTGCATCATTAATTAAATTAATTAATGAGCACCCTTAACAAGGATAAATTATCTCATACTTATAATGCTGATTAACTAACTATTAACGAATTGTATTCCTGTATTAATTAATATTGATACTAAAGCTTTAAATTCTTTTTCCAAATTCCCCACTGACCGTAACATAAATCATATTGACCGGCCGGCCGAAATACTAAATGAATTACCCACAACACAAATACATATATGTGAAAATTCATCACAATATTCAGGCAGTCCATAATCGCTTTGACCGTAACATACTCATCGCAAATCTCTAAGAGCTTAAAATGCTGCGACATTTTTATCAAGATTTACAATTTATTTATTTTGTTGACATACAGCAATCTCGGATCTAACATTTACAAAGTAAACCGAGACAACTAATGTCAAATCGATCGTTAATCTAGGATCAACACCTAGTCTCGAATGATAAAAGCAAATATATCCAAGAGGTATAAAAGTGAAATCGCCGAAAATATCGTTGTAGATACGACGTTTATATGGAACATATTTGATTGTCACATTAAACTAAAGATAAAATTGATTATTATGGGAAGTTATTTGCTAATTTGATTTGTTATGAGACAGTACGTGACCAAATGAATGCGCAGTTGGTGTCGTGAAAGCATCACAGACACGTATCTTTACTGGACGTGATAGTGACCAATTTAATGCATTACTCAGTTGATAATCCGCTGTGCCTGTCTTCAAGTGTAAAAGTGTAGTATAAATTTGTGTACCATTCTCAGTGATATACCTTCATATGATAACGGGTACGTAATTTTTTGTACATAAGACAATAACTATGGTGAAACAAAAGAAAAACCCTACTAAGAGTGCATAGTTAACCAGCTTGTGCCCGCGACTTCGTCTGCGCAGAATTTATAACAAACTTAGTAGCCTTCCAGGCTATGTTCTATATCAATGCCAAATTCAGTCGAGGTGTTTAATTTTTATTGTGTAAGAACCTTCTGACTGTTACAAACACAACAAAACGTACAAAAAATAGAGAAATCGCTTCAACCGTTCACGCGTGATGTCGCGTCAAGAGATATAGGGTACCATTTTTATATTATACTAGCGGTGGCCCACGCGTAGGTTTGAAAAAAGTTCCCTATAAAATACCAGCATGCATCAGGTACCTTCTGGCCAAAGTCTCGTCAAAATCGGTACACACTCTCCCGGAGGTTACTCGGAATAAACGCACTAAATGTAAATTTTCTTTTGACATTACATACAGACACTCCAATTTCATTATTATGTATAGATAGATGTTAATATTGTATGATTAGATAAAATATATTAACCTGATTCCAAATATGATGTGTACAAGAGAGCTTGATTCCAACCCCGCCACACTGCGTATTCCAGTATTAAAGGAAACGTATTTAACACAGATAGAGGACATTTCGTTTCAACAAAGCCAGATGAAATTATGTACGTACAAATGGTTACAAAGAATACGTTGGATCTCATCTGAAAAGGAAAACATAAAAATATTTATCTCCATCGGTACAGAATTTTTTGTTTTCAGCTAACAATTAAATATGTCGCAAATACAATTTTTAATAGGGACAAAAGAGCATATTTGTATCTGAACACAATTTTACATTTTCTTCAACTAAAGTTGATAGTAATTTAATCTTTGGTTCCTTATTTTCAATTTAACAAATTAAATTAAAGACTTCTTTTGGTAGATAACTCGTGATTAGTTACTGATTTAGTTCAATGCGCACTTCTCGTATATATGTGTATTATTGTGAAAGAATAGAAATCCACGGAAAATTAATGACATATACAGTAAAGAACAAGCTTCATAGACCACTTTATTATCCACAAACAAATCGTTAGTCATAAATGTTCGTGATATTGAAAATTCTTTCTATTGCGACAAAATAAATGCAGTGTATATGCAAAATAAGGTTTAATCTGCAGATTCTCCAAATGCTTACGAAGGAATTCTAGTAATACCTTCCTCGCAGTTGATATAACGGACCTCAACTGAATACAATTCTTAGAGTGAAAACGTAGCGAAAGATTCTACGAAAATAAATCTAACATCTAAGCTAGAACTTTTTTTTTATTTTACATTGTTTTTAATTTATGAGGTTCTTCTATCAAACACTTTATTGAAAAATAGAGTAATATAGTATGGCAAATGGATATCGTAACTAACTTTGTCACACTCTCTGGATTACGGACATGTGTTTCTATATATCCTACCAGTAACAAAAACATGATTAATTTGTACTGTCAAATTTCCACCTCATAAAAGATTTAAATTTGATTTAAGGTATGTGCCAAGTCTTCTTTTGTATGTGACTAATAGCCTTTCCGATATTGTTGGTAGTGACGGAATTATAAATAGATATTTACCGTCGCGTCCTATACCATCCACAAGGGTAGAATTATTTAAACACGTGACAGCACGCACGTGTATCAAAATCAATAGGTTAAAGGAATTGTATGTAATCCATCATTGCATACAATTTCTAGTATTTTTCAGTTCAACAATGTTTTTATTCATTTTATTTACAGAAAACATTAGCTGCAAACATTACCTAATATCATTTTATCTTTGAAATCTATTTTTTTCTATATAATTAATAAAATTTTTGTGTCTGTAATATAAAAAAAAATTGCGAACATGATTTATTTGCGCTGCTGAAGACAAAAAGCCTTTTTTTATTTCTGTCTGCAATGACGTCCTTTTGTAAGTACGCGTTTGTTCCGGACAATATCCGGAATGGCTGAAATTTTTAACGCTATTGACTGGAAGGTAAACGATGTATATTTACTTTATTTTCAGTGCAATATTAAGACACTAATTTTAGCAAAAAAATAAATAACCTACTTAACTAGAAATGAAAATTTGTTTCGGCTTGACACTATTACCAATGCGTTAATTAATAGTATAACACCTTATATTATAAATTATTAGTAAATAATTATAATAAGCACTTGATCACTTTTTCTGTTATAGTCTTATCGTTTTTCTGTTTCAGGATTAACTTAACGATACACTAAATGTGAACACGCTTTTTCTTGAATGAAAATGGCATTCTCATCCGTCACGAAGGCGAAGGAATATCTCAAGACAATTAGTAAAATCTACAGCAATTACTACATGCAAGATGATTGCTCTGTTGAGATATCGAGTGTGTATGAAGATACGCGTCCTCGGGAACCAGAATACTTAGCTCCCTTACGCGAATGGGAAAAGAAAATGGGATTTGTAACAGCAATTCGTTGGACGAGTGCTATACCTATTGTAATCTTCCATTTGATTACTGCTTTATCAATTATTTATTCTGTTATTGTAGGCAGTATACCTAAATGGCAAACATTTCTGTTTGGTACGTACAATGTAACATAATCTTTATTTTATTTTTTTATTTTCCAATAGTCCAGATCAGACCTATAACCAGGTTAACTTCCTAAAAGCGTTTTGCGTTGCTGATAAAAACCAAACTTATGCATATTTCAACTAATTTCTAGGATACTTTATGGGTCAAGTCGCAGGATTCGGTGTGACTGCCGGTGCTCATCGCTATTGGACGCATAGATCATACAAAGCTACTTTTCCGCTGCAAATTATCCTCATCATCTGTTATTCCGTTGCTGGTCAGGTATTTAAATAGTTTTTACATACAATGACTGATCACAATAAAGGCCCATAACCAACACTAATACAATTTTGGTTTAAGAGTTTTAACCCTAAAATAATCGTAATCGGTAGTCCTACTCCTTTCCTGTTCGTAATCTTCATAAAAATGATTGTAAAGTTTTATAGCAATATTCTTGTGCAAAAATAATATACGAGCAAGTAGTTTGTCCGATAGGATTAACTGTAAACCATTTTTTTCTACGCCTGAAAGACTTACCTAAGGTTACTATAATCTACCGCTGTGATAAATGCCTATCAAGTAACCAATTTCAGAGTAACTCCTAGAATCGTATATGCATGCCGGATCAATATTTAAAAAATGTTTTGTTAACAGAACAATATTTATAACTGGGTTCGGGACCATCGTATCCATCATAAATTCTCGGAAACGTCAGCTGACCCGCACGACGCTCGCCGTGGCTTTTTCTTCTCTCACGTCGGGTGGCTGATGATGAAGAAACATCCAGACGTCATCAGAGAAGGAAGGAAGATAAGCATGAGAGACATAGCCAATAATCCTCTCGTTCAATTTCATACGAAGTAGGTAAATTCTCACTACAATTGATTGCAATGAACTAGATTGTGGAACTCTATGCATTATTAGCTTTTTTTCATATGTAAAATGATAAAGTCCAAAAGGATCTTTAATATTTCCTACTGAATTTATACATTACCCTTATGAATAGTATCAAGAGTATTATTGTGTTATAGTGTCTGTTAATAGTCGCAAATTCTATGTTATATTAAAAAAAGTAATCTAATGTGCTTTTTAATTTTTAGGTACTTCGACGTCTTTAAATTTGTCTTCTGCTTTTTTCTTCCGACGTTGATACCAGTGTACGGTTGGCATGAAACTTGGACTAACGCTATTCTATCACAGCCTATATTGAGATACGCTTTAAGTCTCAATTTCACTTGGTCTGTCAACAGCTTTGCTCACATTTGGGGAAATAAACCATACGACAGGTAACTTGAATAACTAAAGACCAATTTCACTTAAGTGTAAAAATTTAAAACACCTTATTTGTAAATCTTCTTACTCAATAGAAATCGTCGCAAAGAAATGGCACAACTAGACCTGATGTGAAATAAAAAAAACATATTATTTAAATGTGAGAGAAAAACATTAATAATTTTATTGACCATTTTTTATTGATTTTAGACACATAAGACCTGCTGAAAACTGGGGGGTATCCGCCGTAGCGATGGGTGAGGGTTGGCACAACTATCACCACACATTCCCGTGGGACTACAAAGCATCAGAACTGGCATACATCAACAACATCACCACAAGTCTCCTCAACCTATTCGCTAAAATAGGTTGGGCGTACGACTTGAAAGAAGCTTCGCCGAGTCTCATTAAGTCCGTTATAAACAACAGGGGACCAACACATCACCATTAACCGTGGTAAAACAAAGTGCACATTTTAAGGCCGTTCAAAGTCAGGTGAAGATAAGTAACAAGCGCGTCTCGTGTGAAATGTCGGGTCGCTATAAAGTTTGGATGGCACTATATTTTACTTTTAAATACGTGATATTATAGCAAAAATAATAAGTTGCAAATAATTGGTAATTAGGAAATTATATTTTATTTAATAAAATAATACCTTAAACTTAGTATTTATTACTTATCCATTTTGTTCACAAGCTAACGAATTCTTAGGAAAACCCATAACGGTCACTTTATGTAACAAACGTAAAATGAATGTATCATTTGTATACACTTCACACAAAGTAAATGGATCAAACGTTAAAATAATCTTATGTACAAACTTAGGATTTATTTATATGTATCTATGTATATTTGTAAGATTCCAAGTAGACATCACATACATATAATTCCAGAACATAATCAAAATAAAAAATAAGCAATCATTTTATCGTTATTAGTGTCGATATATATAACCTAAAAATATCTAATCCACGGCACAAAAGTGCAGCGAAAAAAGGCATCCGAAAGCCTTTTGTGGGGTTAAATTCGCTCAATGTATCTTTTACAATATAAAATTCCTTTTCGCAAAATTGATTCTCAATTAGACGTCAAACATGTATGAAATACTTCATCTATGGACTATATATCTAAGTTGATACATATTCATTAAATTAAAATGATTACAATATTTTTATCAATATGAGCCTCACATGCAAGATTCGTTTCGACGAAACGGCCATCATCTTCTTTCCTAGACCTTTATTACATCTCTCATAAATGCAAATACATATCTAAAAAATTAGAGCATATCGGACTTTATGTTAACTGAAACGAACTTCAAGAATGCGGGATCCGTACCTAGTATAGCCTTGATGACTAGATTTACAAGCCCCTTGTAAAAACACTCGGCAAACATTCAATTACAAATATTGCTATTTAAGAGTTAACTACTTATATTTAATTTTATATACAATAAAATATTTGTGAACAGATTACATTAATTAAAAAACCATGACTAAACATTATGTTATAGTTGTGCAAGCAGACTTTCTTAAATTTACAAAAAACAGAAAAAAATTACAAACGCCAGCAATTTTACTAAATAAATTTCTAGAACGCAGCAGCTAGAACAGTACTAAACACATAGGTCGATTACTTATAACCTATTCTACTTTTATTATTCTAAAAAATTATATATTTAAAAATGCACAATATATGACGACAATTTGTTGTCTAAGGATTGAACACTATGTATGTATATAATATAATCCTCCTTCAGAGACAACACAAATGCTAGTAAAAATATAATCAAAAAAGAAACAAAATAATTTTTTCATTTTAAAACTTTATGTAACATGTATTATAATTGTAAAAAAATGACTTTTATCACTAGAAAATCAAAATATAAACTAAATATCAGCATTAAAACACTGAAATTATAAACATGCATTAGTACAAGGAAATTGCCATTTTATGGCTAACTCAAATAATTTAATTTGACTGCAAAGTATGTTGTATGTAAATGTGTACCTACAATGACATAGTGTTAAAACTGTCATATACAAGATTCAAAGCTAAATAAGTTCAAAATCAGTCTTGAAATGTTGTATAAAAACTTATTTTAAATTACCATTGTTTATCAATTCTAGTTTATTTGCATCTGTTGCAATTTTGGGCTCTTTCACAGGCCTGGTATTATCTTCCTTTGTTGTCTTCCGTTTCAAACTGACAACTTTGTTGGAGTACACACCATCACTTGCATTATCACTGTTAGATATTTTTCTTTTTTTCGTTTTAGTGACAACAATATCAAAATCTGATGAATCATCATCGAAACCACAATATTGAGGTACGGAACGGCCACTTCTAGTAGATCTTACAGGTTGAATCCTTGTGGTTTCTTCAACTATTTGTAGCGGTGGGGGCCATGCAGCAAAATTAACAGATTGCCTAGCTTGGCGATAATTATTAATTGACATTAATTTAATGTAGACTGCAAGTGTATGAGCTTTCTCTGCTGGAGTTAATGTATTTGGCAATATACTCCAAGGCATTCTCCTATCTCTTACATTAAGGAACTTTCTCTTCATTTTTATTTTTGGTGTAGTATTACATTGAGTATCCTCAGCCTGTAATGCAGATGTTAAAATTTATAAATAACAGAGACATAAATGAATATTAAAAACTTATTTACACATAAACATATCAACCCACAGAAACATCAATCAGTAGGCATAATAAAACCTCAGGATAATTTAGTATCAGTAAGAGGGAAAACTAAGCCTTTGAAACAATAATATTAATCTATTATTGTATTACTATTGTATCTATTATCATCTTCATCTTGACTTGTTGAAAACTGATATTCATTTTTTATGACAACCTACAGCTGCACTAGATGAGAATTTAATATTATTTCTACATACATTAGGGTATTGACTGGATTACAATGACTCAAGATATGTTTTTATGTGTGCATGCTATGATATACTACTACCTTTTGCCTGTGTAACTCTTCTTCATTAACTGTTGACTTGGAATTTTTTAAAGCTTTAAGAAGATCTCTCATTTCATCTTTACTGAGGTTTTCTTCATTTAAATCAAATTCTGAAATACAGCATAATGAACTTGAGCAAAGTCTAGGGATATCGGACCATATACGCAAGAATCTTTGATAGTAAATTAAATAAAACATGATCCTTTAATGCGCCGTAAATCTTGAAAACCAATTCGCCATGGTAAGACTTAAATTTTTAGGCACTTTTTGTTTGAATGTATTCTGGTTTTAAATCTTCAGTATCTTGTTTAATTTTTAGTTTTATATTCTATATTTTATCCATAATTCTATCTCAAAACGAAGAGAAACATTTTTGTAATTTACATATTTACCTTTTAAAAGATGTTTCATCGTTTTCATCTCCGAATCGCAACTATCATCAGAAGACAATATAGACTCCATTGCAATTTTAATGTAATAATTTCAATATTCTTAATTAGATTCAAATTTCGTTCTAATTATAACCGATACAATTATTTATTTTGATAAAAGATTACTCTTATTTTGTAAATAAAAAACGTCATTCGCTTCTTTTGTTTATGTTTGCCAGCATTAAAAAATGGAATATCAAAACAAAATTGCAGCCTACATTTATATCCTTAAAGTTAAAAAAAGGAGAATAAGTTATATTGGTAATTCAAACATGGATCTCAGCAAGCAAAGAATTGTATTATAGACAAATTTTAAAGTATGTCTACTGTCTACGTATAGCGTATAGTCTCATCGTAAGTTTGACACACAACCACTAATGTTTTGTAGCAACTGGCAACTTATCTCAGCAAAGCAATCGTCGTTCCTTGTCCTTGCGCCTTCACCTCATTCACTCTCACTCACTCACTCACTCAGTCGACCACAATTTGTCAAGAGTAGTGTATTTGTCTTATTAGTTTTTTTTTTATTTTATTCGCCTCCAATAATCAAAACGTAAACTACGAGTTGTTTTGTGAAATATCTAGGTTTATAAGTAACAACCTATAAAATATTGCGTTTGTAATCTACTATGTTATAAATAACGGTGATATTATTAGTGAGTGATTGTGAAATAATTCTTTATTACATCGGAATGGACACAAAATGGAAGAAGAATTAAGATGTTTTGTTTGTAAAGAATTCTACAAAGAACCAGTATTGCTACCTTGTGGGCACGCATTGTGCCGTGTTTGTGCTGTTGGCCTACAAAGTCATTTACCAGAAGCAGACAATGCCTCGGGTACTGCAAATGACTATCAGGAGGCAGATAAGGCATCTGTGTCGAGCGAAACCGATAGCGGTGTCGTTTGTGGATCTAGACCTAATAGTTTCGCGGGAACACCGGCTGCCGCAGTGTATTCGTCGGCAGCTTTCAGCCTCCTGTGTCCGCAATGTAACAAACAAGTTTTTTTGGACGACAATGGAGCCGAAGGGCTACCACCTTTTCGAGTGATGCGTACTATCGTAGAGCGATTCGGCGGTGTAGTAGGAGCGCCACCTGCAGAAGAAGCTTGTCAGATGTGTGAAGGTGAAAGACGGGCTGCTGTAGTTCGATGCGAACAATGTTCAGTGAGGTATTGTGCCGGTTGTCGTGACGCCTGGCACCCTACTCGCGGTCCCCTCGCGCAGCATGAGTTGCGCGCCCTAGGAACTACGTGCTCAGATCATGGATCGCCTCCAGTTCTGTACTGCAACACATGTTTAGTGCCGATTTGCCAGCGGTGCCTGGGTGAGCGACACTCCGCCCATGAAACACAGCAGCTTTCCAGTGCAGCTAGAGCTCATAAGGTAACATTGACAATGGAACTACATTAAGTTGAAGCAAGCTAAATTGCATGTACTTTTGTGCTTATTTATCATCATTTAGATATGATGTTTTAAATATTTGGTAACCATTTTTTTACAGACTGAATTATCACAATCACTCCAGCAGCTTTCAGAACAAGCAAAAGCCATGACTGAATATATTCAGCTAGTCAAAGGATCCGGAGATAAAATAAATGTAAGTAATCATTTATAGATGTAATGTAGCGCAAGGTTACAAACTATCCATAGCTTATAAATATTTATTGCAAAATTGAATATTCTTTATCAAACACTTATTTTACAAAATCAAAATCCAAAAAATTACAGGAATCGTGTGAAGAACTAGAAAGACAAATAGATCAGGCATGTGCAGAAGTAACCCGTGCAATAGACCGACGCAGAGACGAACTGGTCAGAGCTGCTCGGAATACCCGGTCACAAGCTATAGCAAATATGCGCTTACTCACTTCCCATGCTGCGCAGAAGTTACGTGAAGCCACTGCTTTACTGCATTTTTCTATAGAAGCTTTAAAGGAATCAGATCATGCTGCATTCTTACAGGTATGTTGACAATAATCAGTAAATAAGTATTTGAATTATTTGATTTTAAATAACACCTTTAATAAAACCTCATAGTATATTTTATCTTTTTATTATTACATAGAATTAAGAATTTTTAAAACTAAGGTTCTTACATATTTATAGTTGTATAGATTATACCACAATCAATAGTTGGAAATTATAACCTTATGATTAAGGTGTGGCATATAAGATACTATCATAATCAGATAAGTGTACACAATAAGTATTATATACAAAATAATGTCTTTATACTGTACTAATATAATAATAGTGAAAAAATTAATGGAATATACAATTTAATAAAATTCATCATTGAACATAAACTTTACATGTTTGATAAACATGTAATCAACAATAAAAAAAAGTAACTGTCTTGATTTATATAAAGACTTACTTTGTGCAATTTATGTAATTTTCACCAAATCAATCACTCCATGGTACTGCGATTTTATATTAAGTGAACAGCCCTGTGGCAGTAAATGTGTTAATAGTAAATGTTTGTTTCCAGGTGGGGAACATCCTGTCGGCTCGTGCGCAGGAGACAGCCGCGGGTCTCTGCTCGTCGCTCGACCCGCCGCCTTCCCCGCCCGCCCTAACGCTAGACATCGAGCCTGTCATACGCACAGTTAGGACTATGAATTTCGTTGAATGCATACGTAAGAAAAAGCTTTTCTTTTACTTTATTTGATAATTTTTGGCAACCCTTATTTAATGTCTTCAAAAACACATTATTATACATTTTTTTAAATGTAAAAGAAAAGTGAAACAAAAAATCTCAATGTATATTCCCTAAAGCTTGTGTAATAGAATATTTTCTATTGAAAAGTGCAGTTCCTAAGGCCACTTGTTATTTAGTTTTTATTGTATTGTAAGTAATTTGATACAGTTCATTGAAGCGTGTAATGGCCGCCGATGTAATCGATCGCATACGGGATATCCTAATGTATTTAAATAATAGAATGTTTATCATTTCATTCTAAGCATATTACATATATAAACATGTGAATTCTCAGTCTCTCAAGTCTCGGTTAAAGTTTATAAAAAAAATTACAATCCATAAACAAGACACTCAAGCAAGAGAGAATATAAGGGTAAAATATTGGGGTACCTTAAACTCTCGCTTATCAAGGCTAGACTATAATATTTTTTTTATTATTGACTGATTAGTATTTTATCTGTTAGTTAAAGCCATTGACGCAACTAAAAATAGAACATCGATTGTTAATTTTAGATTTTCGATTATAATGTTGCACTTATGGTTTATCTTTTGTATAAACTATGTTGACATATATGTATGCATTCCTTTGCAAGCAACAATGAAAACACTTGACATATTTAATTAAAAATTATACAAAGATATTAACATGCTATTTAAGAATGACATTGTATGTTAATACATACAGAATGGAACTGCTGGAATTTATATTTCATTTCGATATAATAAATAATTTTACAAATTAAAAATAAATAAGTTTTTAATAGCATATGGTTATTCAGCTTGTCAAGAAAATCAACAAATAAAATTTCTCTTTTTTTTTACTTTTTATCGTAGAACTGAATTCATACTTTTGTTATTCAATATTTATAAAATTGTTTTACTTTTACGCAAACGTAATGCAGCATTGGAAAAACAAATGAAGTCATCAGGTTAGTAATGTTTAAATCTTTTGTTTTAATTCAAATATGATTACATTTTTACATACAATATTGTAAAATTAAAAATAGATATGCAACATACCTAAATGCCAGAGAGGCTCATTGACTAGTTTTTGCATTTGCATTTCATTATATATTTCATTCAAGAAGCCAGAAAAATTCGGTAATCGTAGCATGTAGTAGCAGCTTTCGTGTCTGCATTTTGGACTTAGTATTAGGTATCTAGAAGTATTATTATGTAGAATTTAGAATGTTTGTGTGTGTGTCGCAGCGCCGGGCGCGCCAGAGATGGCGGTGGAGGCGTGCGCGGCGCGCGGCTGCTCGTGCACGCTAGCGTGGCGCGCGCCCGCTGCGCCTGCCGCCGTGCGCGGTTACGTCCTCGAACTGGACGACGGACTCGGCGGACCCTTCCGAGTTAGTACCAGTACCCAGTACAACATTTTTTTATTAATTTCATCCTGAATAAAGAGAGACGTTTAAACGGATAACAGTAAATGCAAAATAATATTTATTGTATACCTTATTGGATGAAGGGCATATTATAAATCTAAAGAGTGTTTGGTTATGTGTGGCAGGAGGTGTACTGCGGACGCGAGACGGTGTGCACGGTGGACGGATTACACTACGCTTCGTTATACAGCGCGCGCGTGAAGGCCTTCAACGGTGCCGGCGAGGGGCCCTACAGCGAGATCATCGGGCTGCAGACCTCGCCCGGTATGACTTTATAGTCTAAGAGGAATAGTATGAAATGAATGATGGAACTTATTGTTTTGATTCGTTGTATAGAAAATTCAGAAGTTATGGGTTTGGTATAGGAACATATATTATATAGACCCGATTTTCATTTATACGTGTGTGTGTGTGGCGTCAGTGGCGTGGTTCGCGTGGGACTTGCGGTGTGCGGGTGCGGAGGACGCGCTGTGCCTGAGCGCAGACGGGCTGAGCGCGCGCGCTGCGGGCTGGCAGCCGCGCGTGGTGCTCGCGGACCAGCCTCTAGCGCGCGGCGTGCACTATTGGCGCCTGCGTCTCGACGCGCACGATGGCGACGCGGACCCCGCTTTCGGCATCGCACGGGCCGATGTTGCCAAGGACAAAATGCTCGGTCAGTTTACACCAACACTACACATGGGTATGCGCAATGACCACGTAACAGTGTTGCGCCAAGCAACAACAGCTACCGTTGCACAAATAGTTCGGCTCGCACGGTGAAATACTACGATTACGCAGAACATATATCTATATTAAAAAAGTTAAAAATTCTTTATTGAGCAGAAAAATCATTTTCACAAAAATGTTGTGGGCTCTGTCTCCTGAACTAGTAAATACTGTGTAGGTACGTTCATCTCGTTATTTCAGCGAATTTCGGTGGCCGCCTGCTTGTTTGCCCCCTTTTAATATAATGATTTATATTGCTTAAAGCGGAGACGAAAGAAAGTTGGCGGAAACTGGGTCTTCTGTAAAATATCAAGGTCATACACAAATTTTTAGTGAAATCCATTTTGCGTTTGTGATAATCACAAAATGATAATATGAACATGTTTTGCAGGGAGCGACGCTCTGGGGTGGGCGATGTACATCGACAGCGCACGCTCGTGGTTCGTGCACGGCGGAGCGCACGGCGGGCGCGCGGAGGGCGGCGTCACTCGCGGCAGCACTGTCGGTGTCCTGCTCGACCTCGCGCGCGGCACGCTCCGCTTCGCAGTCGACGACCGCCCGCAGGTACATATCTCACTAAATGCTAGCTTATATTTCAAATCACCACGAGAACATTTTGCAAAGAATTATTAAAACTTATTCATTCAATATATGACATAAAAAGAAATATTTGAATGTTATACCTATCTAAATCTAAGGAGTGGTTTTTCTAGTAATCATCGGAACGGCCAAAGACCTTTTTTGACGGAACTTTGTGGCCAAGGTAGCCGATGCAGGTTATATGCGTGTTATAAGCAACTTATTTTTTTATTCTGCAAGGATAAAGCCTTGGCCGACCGGTAGTTTTACCTAAAATAATTGGGCTACCTTGTTCTTATAAAAGCATCGATAAATTATTGCAGGGCGATATAGCATTCACTGGTCTGCGCGGCGCGTTCTACCCGGCCGTGTCGTTGAACCGCGGCGTGGCTGTCACGCTGGAGCCTGGTCTGCAGCCGCCACCTGAGCTGCTCATGGAAACCCTCGCCATTGAATAACACACCATACTCTTTCATCTACTTCCACTGTGACGAGAATAAGCGCATATACATTTTGTATATCCAAATAGGTATTTTTTGGCGACAAATGTTGAAACTGGATTACAGAAAACATTTGATATTTTTTAGCTATAAAATGTAACATGAATTAGTTCCCATCCTCCACGGCCGACAATGGCTGACGATGATCTCTCTATGGAGCCATTTTTTATATTATTTGTCGAAAAACTTACAATTTAACAATTAAAATTTAAAACAAAAATAGTTTAATTGTATTGTAATTTGTTTGCGAAAGTATTTTGATGTTTGGATATGGCCAAGACAATTAACTTAGATAATTCCCGCCCATTTTATTACTAACATACTAATATTTATAAATTAATTTAAAAATTAAATTAAAAATGACGTGTTGCTTTGTATGTGTGTTGAGTTTTAACATAGCTTTATGATAAGTGTGACTGAGCGTGGTTTATATATTGATGTTTAGAGGAGAGAATGTGCCATGACCGAACAATTGTTGTTATTCGACATTTACAAAAATTGAGTCATTTTAAATGTTTTTAAAAGTTATGTCAATTAGGTAGATGATAAAAATCACTTCAAAGATGTGAATCATAATTTGATGATAAATAATAATAAATTTGTGCGAATACTAATTAAGCAATATTTAATATGTAACAAAATACGGATGAACGAATATATAAAAACATCATCAGCTCACTATACGTCCCCACTGAGGAGCTCGGAGCCTACCCTAAGTTAGGGGTGATTAGGCCATAGTCAACCACGCTGGCTCACTGCGGGTTAGTTGACTCATATAAAAACAATGAAAATAAATCGAAATATCCATTTAATTAAAAAATTACACCACCATTGTTTATCCCAGTTCGAATAAAAAAAACGTGAACACTCGTTTATGTAGTTAAAGGTTTTTTTTATATCTTTTTCTTCTCATATAATAATTTCATTTATATTATTTTTCATCTTTATAATAAAGGACAGGGAATTAATAAAATTCGTCCAATTTTAAAAAAAAAACCTTTTTTATAACTAGTACTTATAACTTGTATCGTAAGTGCTTTGATATGAAGTTTGGATTTTTTATTTAATGGAAGAATATTTAGAATAATTTAACTTTGTAAGACTTTCACCCCCTTCAGCCGTATTCTTTTAAACTTGGTTTGCTTGCGATTAAACGTAGTACAGATTTTTATAAGAATAAAGGCAAGGTTTGTCATAATAAAGATTTCAGCGTTCGTCTCAAATATTATATAGGCTTTATCTTTTTTATAGATTTTTGTATCTTTTTTCCAGTAGGGATAAAACCGAGCTTTTTATGTATTAGTTAGGCTCACATTAGATAGCTCTTAAAAAAATTGTACTTAATATATCCTACTTAGTGGTAGTTATAGTAACATATCATATAGATTTTTACTTATTTATTTGACTTTTATTAATATAACTTCAACTTTTACTCATCAATTTTGCATTGATGTAATTTAAAACCTTTGAGGTTAATGGAATTTATGTAAAAAGCAGCAGCTGATTTTATTTAACTTAAGTATAAAAATGCCTAATGCCTTTTGCTTCTTTGATAATTATCGTTAGTTTTTCGTTTTTTTTTATTTATTTATAAACAATTATTGTTTTAAAAGACAATTAAGAATTAATATTCCACACTTAAAATTCCAGTGAAATATGTTTTTTTATTTTTATTTATGCACTTATATTAATTTTTCTGTTTGATTTATCGTTTATGATAATAGGTACCTGAAAAGAAATAATTTATTCCAAAACCCACCATTATGTTTTTTTTTATTTGAATATATTGACTGATTTCTTTTTCTTTTAAATGTACTTTAATATTACTGTTATTCTTAGTGACTTAAAAGCTGAAATATATTATAAATCCAAAACAATATATAGGATCTTTGTTATTGAGTCCATATTTTACTTTAGAAATGTCTTCAGTGTAATATACGTAAAACATTTTTAGATTTATTTTCTTTAAGTTTATTTAGAAGTAGTAGGTGTCTTTTTATTTCCCTATCCACCCTGTATTTGTATGTAAAGAGAAAAATAAATACATACTATATGCTTTGCTTGCCTAACGTAATATTTAGGAATCATAGTTTGTTTCTCAAAATATTTACATTATGCATTCTTTATCGTCGTATATAAAATTTGTAAGAATTGTTTTACATATTATGTGTTTTCACTGCCAAACCCTTTCCTTAAAAATAAATAATATGAATATGAGTACATTTTGTACAAGTTTCTTAGTGTTTTCTCTGTGGAAACTCTCGGTTAGAAAAATAAAAGTATTTTCACTTTTATTAGACAACATAAATTAGACTTAAATGTCTATTCGTATGAAGCATCTAATTTGTATCTCTGACAATAATTCATGGAATACCTCTGAGCTGTATTTGTTAAACATTGTTCTTGCTGTATTCGTAAATGTATAGAGTAAGTGAATGTCATCTGTCAATTTTTATCCGAAAGACACTTACTGTACCTGTTATTTTGTAAAAATAAATCCGCCTTTTATATAGTTTTCAAATGATTTTCGTAAAATGTCATTAAATTCGTCGGAATGAATCCAAGCGATCATCATTGTTAAACCTGCTCACAGCAGTTAAACTATATATCCTATGTACTTATATACATTAACGACTGAATTCGTACTTGTATTAAATAAGTTATATTTTACAATTTGTTTTCTTTCCCCTTTATCGCTTTGTCTTATTTGGTTTTATTGTTGATTATTAAAATCAATTTAAATGTGTTATTCCCGAATAAAATTAAACAATTGTACTAAAAACTTGTGACCTCGGGTGTGTCCTAAAGTTTGCCTCTAAGTTTAATGAAAGACTAGATTCTTTAGCCTTATCCAAAACAAGACCCTATATATGTTTAGTGTTAAGATATTATTCAAAAAAAAATAGTTATGTTCTATCAGCTGCTTTCCCGTCAATTCTTGTTATTTTCATTATGCAAACATCGAATAATTTGTCTGCATACAACTTAAAATTACACAATCAGTCTTCAATGCATAGTCCAATCATTATCAAGTTGCGCGGCGCTCAGAACACTAGCCGTGTTGCGACCTCGCGATAACGCGTTGCACCCACACGCAACGGAAGCATTTGATATCGCAGTCATATCACAAAAGTAGTAAACTCTACCTACAAAATATCGACGCAATTCCCCAGCTAAAGTCGCATGTCCAAATTTAAATTGTTCTATAATTTTCTTGCATTACTAATAGTTGAACGTGTCATATCCTAACGGTCAAAGATATTTGCGTGTTAAGGGAGTCGTAAGATGAAAATAAATAACAAAGTTTGTGTGAAGAGTTTATTTTGGCCCATATTTTAAACAACGATATATTTTTTGGGAAAAGGAAAAGAAGATTAATTATTATATAACAGAATGTGTTGCTCATAAATTTAATCAGCACCTCAGATTCCTGAAGGTTTTTGTAACATGTAACTTTAATATAATAATTTAATTTTATAAATCGCGAACCCAAAAGGTATTTAATTTTGAATTTATATAAATTGATACAATATGTTACAAATCTTTTTAAAACAAATATTCAAGTTTAAAAAAAATACATTTACTTTGGTAACGAAACCTTCGCTTTGTTGTTCATACTTATTAGATTACAAACATAAAAAAATAACAATAAAATTACATGCTTTCCAAGATCAGTTGATATACTGAAAACATGTCAGGTGCATTTCTTGTGATTCGATGACATTTGTCTCCTTATATATATTTTAGAGCATGATTTACACAAGTTATATTTTACAAAAAATCTATGACATACTGGGTGCAACAGTAATATATGTTTTTTTGATTATATAGAAATTGGGTATTTAATAAAAAAAATCACTGCAAGGAGGTTCAAAGCTTAAAATTAATAACCAAAATGTCTATATTTGTTCAGTTTTTTCAAATTACAAGCTTATGTAAAGATATAAAACATATGGTTTTTGGAAGACACAACTAATGAATGGCAATTTTTCTTTTAATAATTTCATCAAACTCTGCCAGCTTTAGATCATAGCTATCACAGATAAACATAGATTTCGATTAACGAAAATCGTTGAAATAAGTTAATTGATTTACAATAAATTCGACATCAATCAGGTTATTCCAATTCTTCTACACCAAACTTGATAATTTGAGTGGTAAACAAAATTGTACACATTTACTTGCTTGTGCCGAACCAGGAACATAAAACGAAAGACTATTATGCAAATGTTTTATCAAGCTAAATGCATTGTGAACAAATATTACATACACAGAAAAACAATATAAATTGCAATGACATACCTAAAAACATAAAATTAAAATAAAAGTTCTGGCAAGGCCAAAATTATGTAGCTCTTCACTTGACATCCCAACAATTAAACCCCCAGAGAGTGATAAATGTTTTTTTTTGTAATAATGGAACACAAAAACTCTCTAAATGAAATCCCCCAGACGTGGCAATGCGTCGCATCTGCAAGCCGCAACAGAGTCTTCTCATTGCCCTGCCTTGTTAGTTGGTCACAGGCGAAATTAAAAAATATTACAAAAGCTAAGGTAGGCCAAAGTAAGGTAATTTTTCATCTGTATTTTTAGAATATATCTTGTTGTTAAGAAAAATTAGCTACAAAATAGTTTTTTTGCTCCAAAAATAATGCCCACCTAAGCTTTGCTTGAAATGGTATGCTTCACATACCCACACTGTGACAAACCGCTTGTAAGATAGAACTCAACTATGACTTGTATCTGTAACATTAAAATCTGGCTAAGATAACAAAACATCATTGACCTAAATAATAAAGAAAACCACAATCATACATCTTACAATCAACATATCCAAATACCTTATTCAGTCCAAATCATTATTTTAGCCAGATTTAATTCAAATGCGGCTTGATGAAAAGAATCATTGCCCCAAGCGGCCAGAGGCAATGTTTTTGACACAGAATTAATTTTTTTCTCATTTATCAATATTTGTCTGAGCTAGTCTTATCGCCTACCCATACCCCAGACGACACAATCACTTGGGAAAGACTATTCTATAAAATGAAACTGGTGCTAGCTCTGTTACCAATATGGGTAGGACACTTGGACACATGTAAGAAGTCTATCACAATTTATGTTAAGATCATGGACAAATCTAGATAGACTCACACAGCAAGGATTCAGATAAATATTTTACGTTTCAACAATGTAGGAAACCGCGCACAGTATCCAATATGGATAAAGGGCGCAGGATGCCTTTCGTAGTCCGTGTTTATTTATATATACACTTTAAAAAAGTTAACCCACACGGGGTATCGAGTCTTATTTCACGATAAACTATTTACACGCACATTTTGTTACAATAAATCACTTTTTACAAATAAGTTTTTTGTTTTTGTTTTTATATCTACTAATTCAGTTCACCAGTCAGTAAGTCCAGATGTTTTTTGTGTGCGAATATCGACGCGCAGCGGCACGGCGTTACTTCTCGGCCGAGTCGTCCTCGTCGGCGCGCGCCACGTATAGCGCGGGGTCAATCACCTTCGGGATAGGCTTGATTTCGGTATTCAGCTCCAGCTCGATGCGGTGCAGAGTGTACCGGTCCTCATAGGTGATCAGATTGATCGCGATACCCAGGTGGCCGAAGCGCCCAGAGCGGCCGATGCGGTGCAGGTATGTCTCGGCCATGCGCGGGAAGTCGAAGTTGATGACCACATTGACCGCCTGCACGTCGATACCCCTGGTGAAGAGGTCAGAGCACACGAGGTTGCGGCAGAGGCCGGCGCGGAAGTCGTGGAACACGCGGTTGCGGTGCGCCTGCGCCATGCGCGCGTGTATGTAATAGCAACAATAACCCAACTCCGTTATTTTCTTAGCCAGCAGCTCCACTCGCTGAGTTGAATTGCAGAATATAATGGATTGATTTATTTGCAGCTGTAACAAAGCAACTTAATTTTAAAACCTTGATAAAAATTTATAAAAAAGCAAAATGAAAGAAAAGAAGAATTATTACATCAAGTAAATGTGTAAAAGTTGTGTCCAACCCAATTTTGTTCTATCAAAATGACATAGTTTGAGTAGGATAAAAGCAAGTAATTACTAAGTACAAAAAAAATAAGGTAACTTATAAAACGGAAAAGTGGTATCAAAACACAACGTAAATGTTTGAAAGAACACTAAAGATTTATATTGTACTTAATGATATAATTAATTATATTGTTTTATAAAATACAAAACATAGTGCACATCAAGAGAAATCAGACCTTGGGAAGATAAAATTCTATATTTATTTTACATGACTGTGTGTACATATAATCTTGATATAAATATAACAAACATTTGTATGATATATATAATATGCTTACCTTTGAAAAAAGTGTATTTAAGCAATGCACTTTTTGTCTTTCTTGAACAAATGCATAGTACTGTGTGACTCCTTTAAGTGTAAGCTCTTCCATGAGGTTAATTTCATATGGCTCCCTAAGGTGCTTCTCCATGAACTGCTTTACACTCAATGGAAATGTGGCTGAGAATAGCAAGATCTGGCGTTCTTTGGGTAGCCTACAAAGGACAATATTTAATTTAATTTAGGTCAATTTAAGTTTTATTAGATTTATTTTAAAAATAAAAACTTGAGACCTCAAACGGGTACTGAGGGCCATTTGTGAAAAGTCAACTTACTTAAATAATAAATGAGAAAGTTGTAAAAATGCACTACGCTCTGGGCAAACAATTAATATTTTTCAAAATATATTTACCGACAAATAACCATGTCCAGCATGCCTTTAAAGTCTTGTGACAGTAATTTATCTGCTTCATCAAGAACCAACATCCTGCACTGATCCATCTTAGCTACTTGTTTATCCATGAGATCAATCATACGACCAGGTGTAGCAATTATTACTTGAACTGTAACAAATACACATTCATTATTACATTTTCAGTATCTTTGGTTTGTTTAAACAATGCTAAATAATATCAAACATATGTACATTTTTACAAGGTTAATCAGAAATAATTGTTTCATGAAAAATATAATGCATCCACTTATTACTTAGTAAAAGTTATGCTAGCTTCCTAAAATTTCAAGTTTACTTTCAAAAAAAAAATAATATAAAAAATGGACTTACCATTTTGATATATACGCATAATGTCATCCCTAAGGTTGGTGCCTCCTGTGGTAACCATTACGCGGATATCTGTGTGTTTTGCCAGTTCAATGCAAATTTGTGATGTCTGTAGTGCTAGCTCTCTAGTTGGGACCACAACTAACGCTTGAATAGCATCTTTTTTTGGATCAACCTGTGGAAGGTTCCTACATCAATATGTTGTAATGTAGAATTTAAATTCTTGATGTTTTATACAAATTGCTCAGATTTTGGTTTATCACTTATTGACAAGTGAAGGGGAATCCAAATAATATCATCATAGTCAATCATTTTTTGTTATTAAGATAACTAACCTACATTGAAAACGAAATTTGTTCATAATAATAGTATTTACTAAATTTTCATAATTCATTTACATGACAAAAACAATGTTGGTCTTTGAAGGTAGGATAAATATTAATATGGTCATATTAAATGAACAAAAATTAAATATTGTGCTAATTTTTTTATTATAAAACATTAAAAAATTGTATTTTAGTCATGGAGAAATCTTACACTATCAGTTCACATTGATGATCATTAATAAATTAGCAGTTTGTAATGACATGTTGGCATAAACATAAAATTTATTTATGTTGTTGAGGAACAGAATTTAATATCAAACAAGATTGTTACAAGACACTGCAAATTTTTAAAATTTCTCTTAATCAATAACTACTGGTAGCAAATTATTGATTAAAAAAATGTATACCTGTTCTAACACTGGAATACAATAAGCTCCTGTTTTGCCAGTTCCATTCTTTGCTCGTGCAAGTACATCTTTTCCGCTTAGGGCAACAGGGATTGCAGCCTCTTGAATAGGTGAAGGCTTTTCCCATCCCTTCTCAAATATACCCATCAGTAGCTCTCTCTTTAGGCAAAACTCTTCAAATTCATTACCTCTTGTATCCGTCACATCCTAAGTTTACACAGTATTGTATTAGGCAAATTAATTGCAGACTAATTAATAATGATTAAAAATGAGGGTAGTTTAAAGCAACTCACACTGGTCTTTATTCTTCTGTCTTTGGGGGGTATTTTTAATTTCGATTTCCATCCTTTGTCTTCCACAGTTTTATCTACATCTCTGTAAAATTATACAAGCGTAAGAACTCTAAATTCCAGCTATATGATGATAAATAATTATATACTAATGTACTTACCCCTTCGTCTGGTTATTCATACTGTTTCCAACGTGATTACTTGAACTAATTCTATTTTCGGTCATCATTTTTTCAACAAACTTCCACTAGGAGTCACTAAAATTAGAACCTTATCACAAATATTTATCCAAGTCCAACACTAAACAATTTTTACGACAAATCACTTTTAGATACATATGCTATGAAAAGTTTTTCACGTTCACCAACTTATCCGAGGGATACCTGAAAGATAAAGAGACAAATGTTAATCAAAGCGTTACGATTTCAACACAAAGTCATTATATACGAGACGCGTCAACAAGCAAAATATATACATAAAGTACCTATAGAACAACTGCAGGCATATAATTTCTATTTTGTCGAGGATCGAAACTAACAGTAAGCTGGTATAACAAGTAACAAAAGACATAGAACCTAAAATGACGAAAACAAATACAAAGTAAGATTGAAGAGATGTTCGAAGATAAATGTTCTATTCAATGTTCCAATTTAATATGGCGGCCGTATACTGGGGGTAATCAGTAGCAAAATTTCTTGAAGTTAATACTGATGGACATAGCGAACAAAAAGAAATGTTAAACAAATATACTAAACGGATGTCAGGTAAGCTATTAATATAAAATAAACAAATATCACCTTGATAAAACTTTAGAAAAGACGGCGACACTCGATATTCGACGACGACATCACAAAGTAACCAAGCGACAGTGTTGCCAATTTATGAAATTTACAGTTACAAAAGATCAATGTTGCTAATTGGCAAAAATATGTTCGGTACCATTCGGCACCTTTATTAAAGGATCATTTTGTAATTATTATTAGAAAACATAACATTTTATAACTTGGTTGGTGGCAAAATTGAACTCAATTTGTGAAATTATTTATTTCTAATTCAAAAAGAATATTTAAAACGAATGTTTGTCATAAAATCGGTTTTATTACCTGATATTAGTGATATTTGTATTAAAATTATCCATTACTTTATCACCCCATTCGCAATTACTTTTGCAATTAAATTTGGTTAAGAAAAATAACCAAAAAAAAGAAAAAGTTAAATATTTTCGGTCCGCCTGAAGAAGTGGCAGTGCCAGAGCAGTTGAACTAATGTCAAAACAAATTCTGTCACTGTCATTCTCTGTTATCATAACCTTCTAATTTATAAACTTAGAAAAATATACTGTTGATAAATATTAATGATAATTGATAACCTTTCTAGCGTGACATACCAAACTATAATTTTATATTCGTTGTTTAAGCGTGTAACTAAACTAACAAAAAAGTATTACCTCAAAACCATTGCAAGCTAAGAACACAACAAGGCATACAATGTAACGAAAATAATAAATAGTCTTTGTTCGACTTTTACTTATATCAACATATAACTCCTAATTCCTTTAAAATTATTTCAGGACAGAATACTGGCAGTCGACCGCTCGGAAATATTGTGAATTTTGCAAGTGTTGGTTTGCAGACAGTAAAGTGGTATGTAATTAAAAATAGACATACTTAACGTTTGTAATTCATTTTCGAATTACACTTACTTTCCTTAATCCTTTTTCAGTGTATATCATTTCATGAGAATGGTAAGAGACACAAGGAAAATGTTCAAAAGCATATTTCTCAACTTAGCAAAAAAAGTGCAAAGGAATTTAAGCAAAAAGAAAAAATTGATGATGAAATGAAAAAAATGGAAGCAGCTGCCATGGCTGCTTACTTAAAAGATGTTAAGAATAATGGTGATCTCACATCTAAAGTAAGTTCATTGTATGTTGAATTTCTTGTCTCTTAGATAACTAAACAATTAAAAAAACTACCATATTAGACGTTGAACTCTGCAGACTTCCACATTCTTATAAGGGAATAGTGGTGCTGTCATTTTTTGCTATGTCATACCTTTAGGCTATTTATTCTATATTATACAGGTTATAAATGAAATGGTTGAGAAAAGCGGAGGCAGTGCAGCTGATATAACTCTCAGTTGTAGCACAAAAGATAAATCAGCTCCTGAGTGGCATGAAATTAAAAGTGAGAGTGGAAGTTCTTATTTCTGGAACACAAAGACAAATGGTGAGTTTTATAGTATACATACTAAAAATTACTGCTCCAGAAACTTTAATAAAGTTATGAGCGACATAACAATTTGTTGCTTGTTTGCCCCCTTGTGCTATAAAAAATAAAATAAAAAAAACAAAGGAAAATAGTGTTCTAACAGAAATACTACATAACTAAGTCTTTATATAATTAACCTTTGTTAATGTTTTATTACAGAAACAACCTGGAATCCACCAGATAATTATTTATCAATAGTAAAACAAGAAGAAAAGAAACTAAAAAATGAGCAGCCAGAAAAGAAACAGAAAAAACCTAAGTATGTGATTGGTTTTTTACCTTTTACCTTTAATAACTTTTGTTACTTTCGAGTCACTTATCAACTGTTATGAAAAGAAAAGGTCAACAAATGATTGAAATATTATTGAAGAGATGATCATTTATGTATTTAGTCAACAGAAAATAAGATTATCTTTATAATTGTATTTTTATTTCAGGAAACAAAAACAAGATGAGTGTTTCAAAGAAGTTGAAGCTCTAATGAAAAGAGAGAAAATGAAAGATTTAGCCGATAACACAAAGCCTAGCAATAGTGATGTCCAGTATGGGCCGTCACAACGCCCGGCCAATCCGTATGGTTCATGGAAACCAGTTGTTGATGAGTAAGTTATTATTTTACTGCCATTTAGAAAATTATATGAATCATACTAATATTATAAATGTGAATATTTGGATGGGTGGAAGGATGTTTGTTTAAAGGTATCTCCAGAATGGCCAAATGGATCTTGATGAAATTTGGCGTACATGTAGAACATAGTCTGGAAGGACAAATAGGCTACTAATTATGTTTTTTTTTAATTCCGCCCGGACGGAGTCGCGGGCGACAGCTAGACCATTATAAAAGTCGAAGTAACACACATAATTACAAAGAGAATTATGAAAATGGGTTTTTTCTTTCTTAACAATTATGCAAGTTACTTTAATGTTTTTTAAGAAACCTATATAATACAAAGTGAAAGATAAACAGTTGTTTATTTCTTAAAATGTTTACAATGAAACTATGTAATCTGCAAAAGAAAATACAAAATATTCACTTACAAATCTACATACTCCAATGCTTGTGATAATGCAATTGTACAAGTATACAATATCTATGACATAGTCACGTGCAGAATTCCATATCGGTTTGACAGGTGTCAAGAAACCATAGACCTCCAGTTGCCAAAAGGCAAGGAGCAGCCTCCGCCGCCCGTAGTCGTGCTGCCAGAAGTGGTGCAGTTCAAGGAGAAACGCGTCGAGTCCCTCGGTGACGGACCAGTCGACTTCAAGAAGAGAAAATTGAACGTCCAAAAACGGAACATACGACAGAAACTTGACGATGATTAATAAATATTATAATATAGAAATTGTTTTTTTTTTTTTTTATAAATCCTTGTTTTATTGTGCTGAACTTTGATATCTTAAATTGTTAGTTTTCGATAGAACCAACAGAAGAGTGAATAATTTTAGGATTATTTTTGCAACAGCGTTTTCTTTTGTTAGTCACGTTATTTATACTTGATATAGAAATTATCGCATACAATTATAACGCAAGCTTTATTACATGCGATTCGCGCATCTTAATACATGACTATTTTAAAATGATTTCATCATAACAAAATTAGTCTATAAATAATAGAAAAACTCCTGTAAAGGCATTCAAATTCAATCATGATGCGATTTGCACGTGACTGAATTAGCAAACATTATAATATTGTTCTCAGAACCAAATAATATGAGGGGAAAACCAAGCCTAAAAATATGTAATTTTCAAAATACGTAATTCATCTTTATCAAAACAGTTTTTCTTTGTAAGCTTAGCACCAATAATTACGACTAGAACCATCTTCATCGTCAATTATGTCAAAACAAAATTAGTATGAGATTTATATGTACACTTTATGCCTTTTAGTGTCGCTGCACAAATTTTGGTACAAAGTCAATGACGATATGATGATGCTTGTCATAATTATTCGTCCTAGGCCCACAGCACTTAAATATCATAGGTACATTTTTACCATAATTATTTTTGACACAACAGACATCGTAGTAATTTCGAATTACGCGAACACTTAATTAACAAAGCTTGTTAGACTCAAACTTGGCCAATATCAAAATCTATTCTAAGCTTTTTATTGGGTAACTAGGATTTTAGATGGCTTGCAAAAGAAACTTTATTTTATTACACAACATGCACTCTTTTTGATACGGCTTAAGCTAACAAAACGAACAACTTAATGTTTCGGAAATTCCAAAAAAAAATACTGACCTTATGTGATTTAAAAATGGATCGTTAAAGTTGAAAGATAATAGGTAACTAATTTTATTTTGGAGTGTAATAATTCTTTGTGCTTGTTGTTCTAACCATCACATTAGGCTGATCGTGGTATAGCGGTTAATGTTGTCTTCTTCAGGATGAACTGGGTTCGACTCCGTCCAAAACAAAATCTTGACAATTCCTGTGTCGTCTAGTTGTGCTACAAATAATTTTGCACAATAAGAATATTAATTCACGGCCCCACTGACTTAGGAAAGAAAACAATTCCAACCTTTGAAATTTAAAAGAAACTTTGTTTTTATTTCATTATAACGGCAAATACAAATTGGAGAATCCTTACTTGCCAAAAAGTAATTTACTCACCTTCATATGGCTTCCTGATTACGAGAGGGTTAGAAGTGAATCGAGAAAAGTGTATCACTGACACGAAATAAGTAATGGAATTGGATGACAACTGACATAAGATCAAGTATTTAATTTATAGCAACAACATAATATTTTTGTTGTTATTGAAGTTGCGACTATGTTGCACTTACACGAAATTAAAAACATTAAAAATACTTGTAATTTTTTCGGTTTAAGTAGGAATTAGTGTTAATTATTTTTATTGCCAATGCCTAACAATAAAACGTTTATTAACGTTTAATGTTTAATACAGATACAACCGAATATACCTACTTAATTTAAAACGAACTGCGACGACAAACATAATCAAAGATTCCACACAATGCAAACACTATATTTGCGAGTAGTAAAAAAGTTTATTTGAAATGTAAAGAATACAATTGTATGTATATATTTAAATGCATTGTAGTGATATCAAGGTCACCAAAAGTCAAAAGACGCAAAGATTAACATGTGTCTTTTGATTCTCGTACCTTCCAGGCAGAATCATTGTGTAGTTTTTTGTTGGTAAAATATCTACTAAACATCGTTTCTATTGATTGTTAGCTGTATACACCTCGTTTCTATGACACGAGGATACACTAACAAAGTTGACTAAGATAAAATATGATCCGTGAGCTAACTTGAACTGGGAATAATGTTAGGTATTTACTTTAAGTTAAACTTATTTAGCTATTACGAAAACTAATATTCGACCAAGACTGTAATAAATATTTTTCAATACCGTGTGTAAAAAATTCAAAGGAGAGAAACAATCATTATATATTACATTATCCTCGTTTTTTGAAACTCCACGTCGCGGACGTGCGCGTGGCTCCAGTCACGACTCGATCCGGGTTCCATATGGGCATGACGTAGTACTATTAACGTTAATGCGACATTGTATGTTTTGTACAATATGTCCGGTATCATTGAACGCTGAAGGCGTATTAATCTTTCCGAGCACGAACGGGACGCCAGGTGTCGCTATATAAGATACGACAGGACGGGATCGGATCAATACCGTGTTAACCAGCGATCGACACCATTTCAATCTAGCGTCTAATCTAGACCGAGTTTTGTTGTCTGTTGCCACCGATCCATTGTAATAAATCGTCATGTACAAGCTGGTAAGTTTTTTATTTTTTTTGATATCTAATATTAATAAAATTAATTTAAAAGTTATATGCGCTTGTGCCATGTTTTTTAATTTATTTAAAACGTAAATACATATATTCGCAAATAATCTTATATTAGCGCTTCATGCATCAAAATTTTATTATGTTTCAATTATACAAAATTTTAATTTTTGTCAATGAAAAAAGCTTCTATTAATTGTGAACCTCTAAGTATTATTCATTGTCTACTTGGATTTTCTAAAAAGTTTTTAGGTTAAAATATTTAGCCGTAATCACAAAAAATATCGGTATTTTGATGTAATCACAGAACAATAAAAAAATAATTCACGTTTTGATTGGTATTTTAGAAATTCAAAGTAGTTAAAAATTCCGTTTTTGATGTTCGATTTAATCATTACTAACAGTACTAACTTTTTGTGATTATAAGATATGAACGGCTGTAGAAACTAATTCATAGTAGAAATTATTAATTGAACCGCATTTGATTATTAAAAAGTAATATAAAAGCTACAAAAGAGTTTAATCTTATGATTTTAGATGACCATGCTGTTCGTGGCAGCACTTTTCTTGGCGTCAGTGAGCGCTAAACCGCAAGTGCTACTGGACACGTACGGCTACTACGCGGCGGCGCCCGCCTACGTCGCCTCCTACAGCGCGCCACTAGCTTACTCCTACCCCTACGCCTACGCGTACTCTTACCCCTACGCCTACTACTAAACAAACCCAAAATTCTACTATTCTAATCCTGTCGTAGTGCAGTCAAAACCGATTAAAACGACATCGAAATGACCAACAATGACTTAGTAACAACAGATAATTTTTATAACCAATGTTAATGTTCAATAGGGCAGTTATAAGGCGTTTAGTTAAGATCTTTTGGTCCACATAACTGTCTTTTTAACAGGTGTCATATTTAGCGATTTCTAGTGTAGTTCCCCCTCTAATATTTGAATGCCAAATCAACAATTTTGAAACTATTGCAACATTATTGGGGTAGTAGAATTAGGGATCAGGTGTAAAAAGACGAAGCAGCTTTCTCAAAACGACTATGATTGGAATAAAGGATATAAAATTTGTAACATATAATGTAATTCAATAATAACATACATTTTTGTTAGTGACTGAACTTTATTATTTACTATCAGTATTTGAAGTATATTTATTAAATGTTTATTTAAATATTTCATTTTTCATTTTATATATTATTGTACCAGCTGAAAATATTTTGAGAAACAGGAGCATTGTTTACAAAAGAAGGTCTCTACAACACTGAATCCATCTACCACCACTTAAAGTTTCTACGACTTTAATAAATTATTAGTTTGGGTTCTATCAAGATAAAAACCAGTCATGGAAGTTTTAAACATTTACTCTCTCGAGTATAAATTGGTGGAAAGTACTTAACAGATTTCTATATAACTAAAAGGACAGATATTATCGCCTTCTCGTGAAATTGCCGTTAGGAAAGGTGGACGAAGCTTATCTACGTAAATTAAAGCTTTCAGAGCTTCTAAAAGAATCCGAAGAATTGAGTAAGATTAACAATATAATTTACTATTGGTAATCGTCTTGGCTTTATTTTCATATAATTATACACTTTATAAATAGATAATAAATTGTTGTGCATTAGCAACTAGAATTGAGATTAATTTATTCATCAATTTTAAATGAATTGTACAGACAGTGACGTGGCTGCAATTTGTTACACATTAGATGTAGTCTGAATGAACAATGCGCTGCTTAGTATTATAACATGTCTTATTTTGGTGCAGATGACATAGTTAATGATATAATAATAATGGCATGCACAAGGCCGGCCTGCCTTTGGATATCCCACTTCATTTGTATGCAGAAGGCAAGTTAACATATCGACAGCCTGATATTGAACGGTTAATCTAGCATTGATTTATTAATCTTACTAATATTATAAATGCGAATGTTTAGATGTATGGATGTATGTTTGTTTGAAGATAACTCCAGAACGGCTGCATGGATCACGCTGAAATTTAGCATACATGTTGAACATAGACTGGAAGAACAGATAGATTACTAATTAAGTCTAATTTTAATTCTGCGCGGACGGAGGCGCAGACGACAGCTAGTTATTAAATATTGTCGATATAATTACATCATTTAAGTGATCATAGTTTTTAGTATGCCGGTCATAGTTTGTAAAAGGATTTTTTTCTATACAATGATAAACTATGTGACTCATTGTATAAACATATTTTATTTCCTATCGATACGAGGAACTAAGAATATATTTAGATATTCTAAAATTGTTCTTAGATTGAAATTACTTGAAACATCAACTTCTTTCGCCTCCTTTATGCAAAACAAAAAGTATTCTGTTCTTTTAAATAATTATATTCTAACAAGATAAGCTGTAGTAAATATTTCAACGGCTGGCTTTACATGAAGTTTGCAGAATGGAGTTGCATCTTTAAGAGGGAAAATGAAGGTTAAATATTCTAGATACGTAAAAATAATAAAACTATTTAGTTTCAAGTAAATATGTAAGCTAGTATATTTATTTTGATTGCGTACTTCAAAGAAATGACTTCTATTATTTAATTTCTCTTGTAAATAGTCTACGTATAACATTTACACAGAATACTGATTAAATACAAACGAAATAATTCACAATTAAACCAAGTACATTATGGTAAATTTCTGTAGATACTAATATTATCACTAAACTTGCAGGAATTTCTATATATTGATAAATTACGTACAAATTAATTTACATAATTGATATACCGAAGAAAAGTATTTATCGCACAAAATTAATATAGACTCTGTATATGTCGTTTACTTATGTAATGTTAAGAAGATGATTATTTTTAATCTGTTTATACAGGTTGATATTGTTTAATCTAGGTAAAATATTCATTTAACATAGCTATAGCTAGGTACATTTTAAGTTGTATATTTTAAATCGGAAACTATGTTATGGAGATAGCTTATAGTTATTATGTATATTGGAAGCTATGAAGACGAAGATTATAACAATCTTATTTAATAACTTAACTTCTTTTATTTAATTTTTTTATCAAAATAAGGGTAAGCAAGAAAGTTTTTATATTATTGGTTCTTGAAATGTTCCTGTTATAAGAGAAATAAGGAAAAATAAATGTGGTCTCACTTTTATACTTTATCCGGTTTCAATTGCCATTGAAAATGTAATCATCTCCTTAAAACGAATACATCATTTGAAAATCACTATTACAATACGCATTACTATATCTACAGCAATAATTATAATTACAACTTAATATCAATATAAATACATTATTAAAAATAATCGACTACGAAATAAACACTACGTTATATACTTATTTTATAGTTATTTTTGCACGTCTAATAATATAATATTTATAAGCATTGCTTTACAAGAACTTTCAAAGGGTTAAGTTTATGAGTGTTTCGTCTGTTTGGTATACCACTGTCACTTCACTCTAAGTTCTACACGTCTATATCACTTTTACTGACAGTAGATAGCTTAAGCTACCTCTACCTCGGAGTCAGAGTCGTCGGAGTAACTTCTGCCGGGCTGTGAGTGCGCGCCGGGCGTATGCGGGGAGTGCGGCGAGTGCGGGGAGCGGGCAGGCGGCGGCCGCGGCAGGAGTGGAGTCCTGCCGCAAGCCCGCTCCTCTTGCAGCTTCCGCAACCTCTCCTGCTCCTCTCGTTTCTGTTTCCTCCATTTCGCCCGCCGGTTCTTAAACCACACCTGAAATACAAAACAAGCTTAGTAAATTATATCCCTTTAGATCATTTTAAATCCAACTAAACGTATTTGAGATCATTTATCAATGCAATTAGGAAAACATTATATGCAGCAGCAGTTATCATCAGATAAAATAGTAAGAAAAAAAGTGTATTTGAGAACAGCTACTAAGAAAATGTTATATACTTCTTAAGTAAATAATAACACGATACATAAAATTAACCAATACTCTTGTATTATCTAATGTTAAATGTCATGTTCAGAAACTTACTACAGCATAAAATTTGACTAAGTCGTTTGAATGTAAGTTTCTATATTGGAAGCATATTTCTAAAGATTTTGGATATTGAAAACGTAAGTTTATTGTGTCATTGAAGCTACCGATATAATCACAAAGGTATTACAGAGGTTGTTATGCGGACAATCGATCGGCTCAATTGTTGTTTGCGATGACCGCTACCGATCTACTACAATTGAAAAAAGATGTTACATTTGTTGTGTATCATACTTTTAGAATTGCTTTCAAGTTTAACATGAAAAAAAATGTATGAATGGTGGTAGATGTGTCTGGTTGGAGGTTTCCACTCGACTGGGTGTACACAAGTAGCGATAGGGATGTTCCCAAGCCGCGGGTGGTCGCCTTTGTGTCTAGCGCGGCCGCTTTCCGCTACCTTTCCTAATTTACAAGGAATCATTCATGAATATTTCTTCAATGTACAGTCAATTACATGAATATTTAATATTAAGACATTTTACAGTGTGTCACTAGTAACATATGTTTTAAAACTCATCAACCAGCCCTTGTCCCTCCCTACGGAGGGTAGGCCCAGTACGCACTACTCTTTCATGCATCTCTATCAGCCCTTATATCTGAATTCACTCCCTTATTACACATATCCCCTTTCACACAATCCATCGATACTTGCTTAGATCTTTAGTCATCTACATTCAATCTCATTATTTCCACCACAACCGCATCTCAGCTACATCTTCAGCAATCTTCTTTCTTCCGAAAATTTGATGGCCCAGCGTTCTGATACATACATTATGACAAGTTTTACGACCGTATTATAGATCTGTTCCTCAAGCTTAAGGGGTATTCTTGGATCACAATTCACACTAGTGAGATGACGCCATTGTTATAGTGTTTTAAAATTGTAGCTATATAAGTTAGTTTTTAAATGTAATATAAAAGTTTTACTCTTTTATTGTACTTAGTAACGAGTTTGTAGACAAAAAATAAAGATGTTTTAAAGCAAAATAAATTAAGATATGTGTACAACAAAATACTTATCTTACAGTATTCATGTGAAATTTAAAAAATGCCAAAATTTATACAATATAATTGATTAGAGTATCGATATCAGGGAATGCGTTGTACATTGTACGTTGTATGAGGGAATTATATCACAGATGTTATATTAAGAATAAATAAATGTTTAGAAACTGACAATTTTTACAACTACTTTATTGTTATTATTAGTTTCCCATACAAACGACATCAACGAAATAGTTTTGTAGAATGTGTTCTTAATAATATTCCTTCAAGCAGAAATGTTAAGAAACTAAACAAAAAATATAACAAACATGCATCCTTCTCGGTGTAAATGTTAAGTCAAACTGTTCCGCCTTATGATTTTTTATTGTATCGCGGGAGTTAAAATTAATTCGTTAGCGATACCGGTATTGTTGGTGTTAATTGCATTACAAGAGTCGGGCGGTCGCTTAACAATGGCCCTATTAACTTTCGGCGAACGGGAGTAGGGCTTTTCGCACAACGGCCGACTATTTGCGGCCACTCGAGCGAGAAATATGGTCGCTGCCACCGACAGACTGAAGGGCGACTTCTCACTTCTCAACGTATTCCTCCCGTATTCATTTGTCGCCGGAATGAGGAGATTAGTGCGCTCTTTTGTACGCCGTAGATTGGCTTTTGGTATAACTCTTTTGTTATTATTAACAACTATTTCATTGAGTTTTGCAATATGCTATTTGCATTACTGATTTATTCTACTCCCTATTGATATGCAAATTGAAGGCGTTCTAATAATGACTACTAAAACAGAATGTAAGCTCGTTGTACCAATATTTTTCTTAACTCAAGATATTAATTAAGTATTTAATACACCGACTAAAAACTCAAATTTAAACAGACCCTATCTAGGTGCTGAAAGACCTCGATGTCGTACAAAATTTTCATATTAAAATCCTGATATAACATGTTATTGTTATGAACAATAACAAATATACACTCCAGCAGGATCAAAATTACAAAATCTGTAATAACCAAGTATTTCATTATATCCAATATAGATTCAATACTCTATTGTTTTAAATTCACGATACAGGGTGCCCCAAATTCTATAGAAACCTTCGGCTGTTGCGTTCCTATTCCATGCATTTATAATATCCCAGAACGCAATAGGCACCGAAGTCAAACATTAACTCATTAAAAAGCTTAACTGTAGTGTAAATTTGATGTACGTCCCGTTCCTCTACTGCTTTGAAACTTACGAGATTAAATCGTAACTTAGTACTAAGTTCTCTTTAAGACGATTACGTAAAGCTATTATTATCCCTTTAGATCAATCTTTAGTTACTATTATACTAAACATAGATCCAAAAGTTATATCTGTGCAGTGCTTGAATTTTTTCACGTATTTTTTATATTTTCACAGTTTTAAAAACTAGTTAGCTAAAGTTTTACTGAAAATTTTCACAATAAAAAAACACAGATTATGCGGCTTCATAGTCTCATTCCCATGTTGACTACTGCAATCAGAGTCGTTAAATGGTCATCTAAGAAGTCATTGTAAATAACGCTAAGGGACTGTTATTGGCCAGGATATAACTGTCAGTGAGGACTTACATCCGTTTATGTATGAGGTTTGAGCAGAGCGCAAATGCAATGGAACAATAAGATATGTAATTAAGGAGCGATGTCGCCCCTCCAGAAGGAGGCAGTCGGCGGATGTGGGAAGACAACAGCTGATGGAGGGCGGACCCGCGCCCGCGGCCACTGCACCACGCCTCGACGCCTGCAGCCTACACCACTCACCTAATATGTTTTGCCTCCACGCCACAACAAATATTACACGCCACAATCATACCTTCTTTATAAAAGTCCGTTAGTACAAAAAATTTTCTAAACATGAATTTAAATAAATTGAATGAATAAAAATGTTCTAAAATACATTGAGAATATGGATATTTTAAAAACTGATACAAAACATTATGTACTTTTTGTTTGGCCGCTAAGTATACCAATAGACATATTTATAACAATAAATTATGGACCGGGTTCGTTACTTTTGTCTATAATCTAATGTAACCTATATTAGATAATTTAATTAATTAAATTTTCACGAAATTAAATTCAAGTTTAAATTTTCAATTTTTTATTTCAAAATACTCGTACTAATATTTAATTCGTACGATTAAAATCTACGAAACATATTGCACGTCGTACTAACTCTCAATAACAACTCTTTTAAAACATCTGTTTACCATAAATATGTTTATCATCGTTCGCAAAAATCTGAATTTTATATTGATCCAATTTTTCCGGAAAGCTGTAAAGATGTATACTTGGGTATGGAAATCTGATACGTAAGGGGCAAGCGTAGAGCGTGTGAACTGACGCGGCGCGCAAGCGTAGGCGGTGTGGTGGCGGGCGGCGGCTCCCAACTTATTGTAATAATGTTGTTACACCAAACACCGCACCCCCGGGCCTTGTTTGAGATTACAATTACGGTTTTAGCGAACTGATTTATTAATGGACCGTCTGATCCGCCTTTGTTACTACCATCTCAATTCACTTTATTTTGCTAAGCGTTAATTTTCTAAGCTTATCTTTCCGCATTGTACATGATTAAAAAGCTGGAAGTCGAAACAGAATCGTCGGTAACAGATTTTTCTAGATTTATAAACCTAAACTTCAAAATTGACTCTAGTAAACTAAAACATGGAAATGTACTTATTTTCTAGAATTTTTTAACAAAGCAACGAATAAACTAAAACTTTATTAGACGGCATAATTTTAAAAAGATCAGCGCCATTTTAGCAAATTACTTATTCGCCTACAGCTTTTATAATAATGATTTTAATAACATCAACACTTCAAAAATAATTACGTGTCTATTTTTAAATATAACACTTAAGCTGCGTTAAAGCTCACGCACCTGTCCTATTCCGACGCCCATTAGCGACGAAATGCATTAGTCAATATTAAAGATGCCATTCGCGAGTATAATTCCACAAAGGGCTCTTCAAATCACACCCATCGCTTTTCGCTAAATGTCAAAACATTACTCCTCTTCAAGCGGAGGCTGAAAAAGTAACCCCCCGGTGTCTGTCAGTTCGTATCAATTACCGCACGCAAACACCCATAGCCTCGCGCTCGCATAACGTCCTATCTGCTCACAATGCCTCAACCGAATCCAAATTCAATTGTCAAAAGATTGCTTTAATAGTACGTACCTCGATTGCCTTTCGCTCTTTAATGGTAACATCTCGTTTGCGTGCCATAAAGAAATAAGACTTATTGTGCTAACGATAAGCGCCAAATTAGTTGAGCCGTTCCTCCGTATAGGGCTCCCCCGAGGGTCGCTCCGCAAACAGTCTATTCCCCTAAACGTTATACTTTGAAAACAATAATTTGTATTGCGTATCGAACGCGTCTATAAATAATAGAGTGATACTCAACACAGGGACCGATGTGGCCACGAATATGATATTGCTTTATCTATACTCAGAATGGGTTAATCTATATCTATTCATATAATAAAATTGATGTGTCTGAATGTTATATAAAAATAAATGAAAAATCATATTTCGTGTACGATATATTAGCTTTACCTATAAAGAAAAATATTTTTAAAATGTTTGTCTGTCCGCAAGTCGCGTTTGTATCAGGTAATCTTCGGAACAGCTTAACTTATTTTACCGGGACTTGTACTGAATGGTAGCTGACGTATGCGAGCATATTAAAGGATAGTTTTTTC